TTATTATTATTATTATTATTACATTTCTATGCCACCCCTTGCCGAAGCCTCGGGGCGGCTTACAACACAATAAAATACATTGAAATACAACAGAACATAATAAAATTACCATTAAATACAAAAATACACTGAGTTTCAAACATAATAATATAAAATTAAAAATAACAGTATAAAATAAGTAAATAAATACTATAGGAGGAGAAAAGAGAAGGAAGAAGAAGTTGCCCTGGCCAGATCATATATTTTAACAATTAAAATGATGTTTAAATAAAAAGGTCTTTGCCTGGCGCCGTCGTTATTTGTTTTTCGGTGCCAGGCGGACCTCTTTGGGGAGTGAATTCCATAGGTTGGGCACCACCGCAGAGAAAGCCCTCCTCCGAATACTTACTCTCCTAATTTCTTTCATGGAGGGTTTCGTATTACCCTGTGGAACTCACCGCCACAAGGTGTGGTTCCCTAGTTTAGCTTAAAACTTGTCTAAGCGTGTCTGGTAGGAGGGGAAGGCACAGCGCGTGCTTTTGGCACAATCGTTCCGTGCCGTGTCCAGAGGCCAAGCACCTCGGATGGCTGGGGGAGAGCAGCACCCTCACAGAGGAAGGTCTCTTAGCTGCCCTCCCCACAGAACTCCGCATTGTGGGAACACGCCGGGCACGTCTGTAGTTTCCATGCCCTGCTTTTGTGGTTCCAAAAGCAACTTGCCGGCACGTGTTGGCAAGAAGGTGGCTGTCGGCACGGCCGGGAGGGTACCCCCTGTGCCTGACCACGACCGTTCGTGGTGGAACAGGAAGGATGAGATGCAGCTGGGCCACTGCAGGCCCAGGAATTGGAGGTGCTAGTCGCTTCCGGGCCACATCACCCGGCAGCTACCTGGCACCCGGCTTGCAGCATTGCAAGGCCAAGATTTTTAGTAAGAGGAGAGCAAACTGTCGATGGAGCAAACCTATCCCCGCCCCCGCCCTGGAGTTCTGCGGGGAACCTCTCCCAGCAGCACCAGTGGAGAGACCAATCTTGAATCCTAAAGTGCTGAAGCACAGAAAAACCTCCCCTTTAATATCTTCAGAGCAGTTTTTGCTGCCGGCGAAGTTATTAAAACCAGCACACTTAAGATTCCCCGGGGGAAAATTTTGTATATCTGTATCCGTTCTTGGAGGTCCACTGGGTTGTGTCGGTGTGCAGCGTACACGGTCTTATTTGACTGCACAGTTATAAATTAAAATATTTTATAATAGCCATGTGGGTGTGGGAGGCAGTCACATTTTAATAATCAAACAGATTATTAAAGGTGGAGGAATGATTTCCAAATGGTGTCCACAGAATCCAAAGGTTTCTGAGTCACAAGACAGGTTTCCTGAGTGAACAATTGCTCACCACAGCTGTGCTGATGCAACTTAGTTGGTACGACATTTTGCTTTATAAAAACAAACAAACCAAAAAAAACAAACAAACCTGGGGTTTACCAGCAAGAGAGGTGGGTGCCCCCGTTCTAGAAAGAGGGACAACTGCCAGCAACATGACCGCATTTTCCGTGTGATGTTAAACGTATCTGTTGGAAACAGGCTCCTTCCCTAGGAAACTGAGAGTGTGCTGTCTTAGGTCAGTTTGGACAGGAAGTGCTGGAAGTTACGGGCTCTTTTTCTGTCTGCACTGACTTAGGATTGCGCCCTTGCATGATTTCTGTTTGACCTGATGCCGCATCAAAGTCCGTGCCACCTCAGTCTGCCTTCAGGGCTTTTAATAGCGCTTGGCTGTCTGTGCAAATGCGGAAGGATATTGCTTTGTTTGTGTTTTGCTTAACCGTTTATATCTTTTCTAGCCTCCCTGGAAGCCATTCAGTAAAGAGCAGTTCCTAAATGAGAAAAGGAGTAAAAGGGATGGGTACCAAATGGTGGTTTGGTGGAGGTGTGTGTTGGGGGGAGGGGGGCAAGGGATACACCTGTGCAGGTAAGGGTCAGAGGCCCTCGGCTTCCTTACCTTGCCCAAGAATGCTTGCTTAGCTCCAGAACCATACAAATCCATGCCTGGTTGCCCTGCCCTGCCTTGCCCCCAAAGTGTTCTTCATCAGAGCAGCCTAAAAGAATATTTTTTTCCTTCTGCTTTTAAAAGTTCGAAGTCTTTGGCAGTCTAATGCAAAATGCAGCGTGCCCGGCCTTGGCTTATTGTCAGAATCCTCACCAGCAGGCGGAATATCAAAGCAGATTTACTGCAGCTCCGGAACAGGTGGGTCCGCTCGGAAAGAGGCCCTTGCAGGAAGAACCCCCGGGCACCTGGATCCCAGGTGGTGGGGGTTGCAATGCCCCCTTTTCCAATTTCAGAGCACCCCTTCCTCAGCCCTCGTCCCCGCTGCACTTATCAGAGGTGGCGTTCGAAATAATGCCGCAGTCCTTTTCTGGATCCAAGCACGGGGACAAGCAGCGCCATAGCCTTAAACTTTAATTGGTCTGCCACTGGCTGTGAGCTCGAATGAAAGCCCTCAAGCTCCGATGCCCAGTAGGGAGGAGGATGGGGTGGGTAGTCCTGGAGTGGCAGAGCTGCTACATGACTGCAAATTGAAACCGGCTTGGGGAAGGGACAGGATGCTGAAACACCAGGGAAAGCTGGGACACAGCTATCTTGGCTGTGAAGCCGGTATTTATGCTAAAAATGAGAAATAGCTTGCGTAGGACGGCTTTCCCCAACCTGTTGCGCTCTGACGTCGCAGGGGTGTGTCTCCCACCCTTCCCAGGCAGGCCTTGTTTGATTGTCAAACAGGCCTTTAGTTCTATCCACACCTTTCGCCAAAGCGAATTCCCATCTCGCCCCTTGTTAATCTGATGCTTTTGTATGGATCACTTGCATCTTTATTCTATTGTAATAATGGCCTTGGCCCTAAAACGTGTGTTTAAAAATTACTTCATAATGATTTTATATGTATTGTGAAGGAATAATTCACAGTCTTCTAAAATTACAAGAGAATTGGGAGGTCATTTAATCCAACCTCCTGTTCAGTCTTCAAAATAAATCCAATTTCACATACACAGCTGTACTGTAAAACCAAAACCTCTTGTACTTTTTACAAAAGGAAGGCTTTATCATCTGGATATGGAGGCCGCAGTGTTATCGTGTGTGACTAGGGTACACAACTAGGCGCAGAAAACCTCTATTGCAATTCAGGAGCGGCAGTACATCTGTATCTTTTGGCCCTGGTCTCACAGCCATGTTAAAGGAACGTTATCCTTGACACTCTCCTAATTTGGACCAAGGCTGCCTCTGCATTCTGCATCATTCTGTCGAAGCACTTCGCAAGCTTTGAATCTTAACCGCGCTGCCTGATTAATAACAAATGTGGGGCAGATGCAAGCTCGGCTTGGTATCCTCGGACCCAGCCTTGAGTCTTGGATTTCTGAAGGTCAGCGGTGGCCTGAACAGGGCATGGCAATATTGTTTTAAAACACTTGCATTTTGAAAGAATTTCGTTCATTGCTATGAAAGAAAAAGACAAGGTTGATTTTGGGCATCAGTCCTCAGCCAGTAAGCTCCATTGTACCGTCGGACTTGTTTCTTACAAGACACGTGTGGGGTCTCTTTTTGACCACCTGCTTATTCTGGCTTCTTATGGTTATTCATAAAGCTCTCCTAGGCTTGTAGAGAAAGTCAGGAGTCTGCCATGGTCTCACACGCCTTCCCACTGGTGTGTTTCCGGGGCCGTAACAGCGTAGACTTTATTGGAGGGATCCTGGAAGGAGCACTGTTCTCTTGACCCTGACCCTTCTCTCTGTCTTCTGAATTACTTCTCTCGCCCAGAACCATTTCGCCCATTAACTCCAATGGCACGGGCTCGTTGGCCACGGAGTTGGCCAGATGGGCGCCAGAAGTTCTGTCCGGCGAGCTTTTGGGAGGAGGCCCGGGGCGGTGGGCGGCAGAGGCATCATCCATCTGGCCTTCACCGGCTTTTCAGCCCGAGCAGCGCTTGGGCTTTGCTCCACTCTATGCCCCTTTTCCTCTCTCGGCTTGCAGCAAACCTCCATCCTGGGAAGCGTTTTTGCTGACACGTCTTACGACCAGCAGATGATGGCCAGGCAGGCCAACGCTTTGTCCCATCAGGTGAGTGCGTGCCCGTCATTCTGCCGCCCGCACGGCTCTCTGCACCTGCCTCCCCAGCCTGGCACCCTCCTGATTTTTCGTGGGACTCCAGCCCCGATGATCCTACACGGAACGTGTGCCCACGGCCGTCCAGAGGGTGCTGGGCTGGGCGCAGCGGCCATCCGTGTCTGCGTGCCCCCGCCCGCACTCAGGCCTCTGGCCGTCCTCCAAGACACCCAGTGGAGAGGCCCTCCCCCCGGCTCCCCTGCTCCAAACGGTGTTGGGTGGCCTGCGGAGGACCCTCCGCAGCTTCACAGGACTCAGTTAAGAGCGCAAAGCAGAACGTGGGCGTGAACGAGAGGAGCCCTCTCCAAAGAGCTCCCGGTGGGGGCTGGAGCCCCGGTGCTCTTCGTCTTGGAGGGCTTGGGGGAGGCCTCTGCCTCCCGGCTGGCCTGGCTTGCCCCGTCCCATCGCAGTGCAGCGGCTCTGCTGCTCTCCGGCCCCGTGCCCGGGCAGCCACCCCGAGAAGCCGCTGGCCGGCCTGTGGGGGTCCTCCTCCCAGGCGCTCACCTCCGGGGTTCTTCCTGCAGCTCGAGCAGTTCAACATGATCGAGAACGCCATCAGCTCCAACAGCCTGTACAGCCCCTGCTCTACCCTCAACTACTCCCAGGCAGCCATGATGGGGCTCACCGGGACCCCCGGGAGCATGCAGGACACCCAGCAGCTGAGCTATGCCAGTCACGGGAACATCCCCAACATCATCCTGACAGGTGGGCAGCCTCCGGGGCACCTGCGGCGGGGCCGTGGGAGGGAAGCCGGCCAGTGCAGGTGGGGGAGCGGGCCCGGCTGACCAGACGCGCCGTCCGCTTTCTCACCCCCTGCAGTGACCGGGGAGTCGCCCCCCAGTCTGTCGAAGGACCTGACCAGCTCCCTGGCCGGGGCAGGTGACATCAGCTTCGACTCGGATTCCCACTTTCCGCTGGACGAACTCAAAATCGACCCGTTGACCCTGGACGGGCTGCACATGCTCAATGACCCCGACATGGTCCTCGCCGATCCCGCCACCGAGGACACCTTCCGGATGGACCGGCTGTAGGGGGGCGGGCCATGGGGAGGGGGCCGCGTGGAACCACCAAGTCCCGGGGCGCCTCTGCCACTCCGAAGAGGGGTCCAGCCTGCCCCAGGGTAGGCCTTTCGCAGGGCTTGTCATCCACTCGCCGGGTGGCCGTCCTGCCCCCGCCCCACCTGCCCGCTGCCCCTCCGTGGTGCCATCTGTCTCCCCCTCTGTTCGCCTTGCCATGGGAGAGGGCGTTTCTCCCGTAGCGTCTCCCCCCCCTCCCCTCCCCTCCCCTCCCTCCGCTTGTCACCAAAGTTCCAGCGTTGGGTCCTTTTTTTATCCTTTGCACTAAAAGTTTTCTTCATTCGGCGGGAGGGTGGAGTTGTCCGGCAGACCAACTGGTGTTTTCTTGTTTTTGCCATTTCTCTGTAACCCACCCAGTTCACGGCTTCTGTTACAGAACCAGCCACCTCCACGCGAAGTGGGGGGCAGGGGAGACCTCGACGGATTTTGCCCGGCCCGAAGCAGCCCCTTGCCTTGCGGAGCCGGGCCCGGGTCAAAGTCACGGCCTTCCCTGCGGAAACGGAGGGTGGATGAGGCGAGACGAAGCCCTGGAGAGGGCCGTCCGAGAGTGCTTCTTCAGATAAGTGTCTTGAGGCAGCTGCCCCGGGGGGCCTGGGGGCGCTGGAGTGGCTTCCAAGTGCATGCCTCTTCCAGGCCTGGCGTCTTGTCAGTCCTCCAGAAACCCACCCCTGGCCCAGTTCGCTCATCTCCTCGCGCGCTCAGCAGGCCGCCTCAGCGGCTCCTCCGAAGCACCATCTGCAGAGACCATGTGCCCCCCCTGTTTGCACCACCCAGGGTGTAAAAAAAAGTGTTATTTCTGAGGAGGGAGGCGCCCATAGGGAAAAAGCAAGAGCGGACTTTTCTAGCTGCGCTTGCAAGCCTACCATTTCGTGCCCCGAAGCAGTGGGACCAGACGTCTCCTCGAGGGTTTTTTTTTTTTTTAAGAAGTGCTTTTGAAACATGCGGTCTTTTCTTTTTCTGTTGCTTGGAAGAGATGGTCCTTGTTCTGTATTTTTAATACAGGTCTCTTTCTTGCACACCAAGTATGTGTCAAGCAGGGAAAGGGAGCGAGATCCCCTCGGTCCAGGGCATGGGCCAGCCCAGGGAGCACCATGGGCCAAATCCTAGGACTCCCAAGTTGACCGAGAGGGGTTAACCCTGGGCCTCCTGGGGAAAATTTTAGAGGTCTGCTGATTTGGTGTGCTACCAGGTCAAAGAGATGCTTGTTTACTGCATGCCTGGCATGAAGGAAATTGACAGGGCTGGGACAGTTTCAAGGAGCACCCCCAGCTCTAAAAAAATCCCGGTATGCTTTTTTGCTTAATCTGGAGCGCTCCAGTTTCCATCAGACCAAGGCCTGCGGGCTGTGTTGAGTGCCCGAGAACTCCTCTGAAGCTCAAAGGAGGTACCCTGGGACACGTACAGGGTTACTTCCTGTGCGTGTTTCTTTTCAAAAATTGGCTGCTGGGGGGGGTGGGGGGGCAGATGGCTAGGAGTGGTGGTGAAACACATCAGGAAAATGCCAGGTTGGGACCGTGTCTGCTTCTCCCAGAAGGGCCCTAACACCATGTTAAAGTCCTTCTCACCAGTTCTGTCAAGCTGGGAGGATGAAATTGGTCCATCGGACAGTCAAGTTGGATGACCCATATTCCCCGGAGAGGAGGGCTGGCCCAGATGATGTGGCAGTCTCCCATTTGAGCCAAATTTGCCCAAGCGGTACCCAGGTCAAATCCCTGTGCTGTGTCCCACAGGTTCTGGGTTCAAGTCCAACCATCCGGCCATTCTTTCCTTCCCCAGTCTCCTGGGCCCGTCCCACCCATGCTTTCTTGGACACCCCCTCCCATGAGTTGCAGCCGGATTTCTGTATGTGTGTGTTGTGAGGAATCTTGTTCTGGATGCTTGTGTCTTTTGTTTGCCATCTTTGGCTTATAATTTTTGCACTAAAAAGAGAGATGGATTTTTTTTAAGTGTACAGTCTCGTAGATGCTTTTTGTAGCACTTGAACGCAACGTTCTCCGTCCTGCCTGCCCCCAACTTCCCCCCTCCTGGTTTTCACAACCCTTGTCAGTATTTTAACCCGATCCACCTCTATCAATCTTGCTGGTCTATTTATTTCAAGTTTGCTATGGAAGCTTCTCTTACAGAGAAGGAAGCCCCTTTCATTAAAGGCAAAAGCATATATTCTGCATCATAAACACAGGCAGGGGCAGCCCAGAAAAGAAACCCGTTCCCTGGTCCTCAGCAACACTGCTGAAATTCATGTGTTTCTCATCTGGATCTCCATCTCTTCTCTTACTTTATCAGCTCCTATGCATGTCAAAAATCCTGTTTGGTTTGTTGTTTTTTCATTGGCTGTAGACAAAACTTTAAAGATGCAGCATCCAGTTCGGGGGAGAATTCACGACCCTTAAAGCTGGATAATTTTACGGGGGAGATATAAATTGCTATTTTCACTTTCTTTCTTTTTTTTAAAACTACACATGTACATAGAAGAGCTTGTGTATTGATAAACTGTAAGTAGTTTTACAAAATGGCCTTAATTTAATACATATATATCTATCTAGAGATCTCTATGTAGTGATATATATAGGTAGATATATGTATAGAGGAAACCCTATCCAGAAGTAATTCGTTTTGGGGTGGTTGGGGATTAGGGACCATTCTCTTTGGAAGAATATTGCTTATATTTCCGATGATGTGCTGCAAGCAAAGTTTAAAGGTGGTGGGGCTTTAGAACCAGATACTGGGGGGTGGGGGGAGGTCCGTCTCTCTCCAGCAGGGGGCAGTGTTGCCCTTCCCATTTTACCAGCTGAGAAACTGGGCAGTAGCAAAGCCTTTTGCAATTTCCTCTGTGTTTTACTCAGTCCTCTGGATGTGTTGGAGTAGAATTCCCAGCATCCTGGGAATGCTAGGAATTGCAATCCACATCTGTGGGGTGCGTGGGTGAGGACTGACTCTGCATTCTGCGCAGCCTTTGAGAAAGGCGGTGTCCCGTGGGAAGAGGCAAAGCTTTGTTGCGGTTGGCTCTGCTGAGTGGAGAGAAATTCCCCTCCATTCCAAAAAGGGATGATTTCTGTTTCTTAGCTTAGCACAGGAGCCAGATTAAGAGAGTCCTGTTCTAAAATTGTTAAATGTTTTGTCAAGCTTTCGCCCCAGAAAGGCGCAGCTGTGCATTTGCCTCATTCGCTGTCCTCTGCGCTTTCCGGGCATCCACAAAGCTCAGCTCTACATAAGCGCTCTCCTGCAACAGCCCTGCGAGGTAGACTCCGAGGGTTCGGCTGGCTGATGTCACTAGGCCTGCTTCTTTGGCCGCAGGGGGATTTGAACCCGCACTTCCGATCTCGGCCCCGTCACCTGCATCAGTGTAATGCCACCCTCGTTTCTGGCTCTTCTCTCGGCCTCAGTAACCCTGTAAGAGAAATGGGGCTGTGTGAAAGCGACCAAAATTGCTCCTCCCCCGGTGGGGGCAGGTGCTCCAGGGACCATGCAGAACAGGGCCTTGAAAAGGTTCCGAGTCTGGAACGGGCCTTAATTCGGCCTTTTTCCCGTTCCAAGCTCTTAGGTGCTTTTGCAGAACACCTTTGAAAATGCTGACATCACTGCTTGCTGAAATTACGGGAAGGGCGAGGGGTGCCCAAGCCATTTCCAATCCGTAGCACCCCTGGGTGGGGAGATGACTGTAAGCATGTGCAGAGTGCCCTTTTCTGCCCAAAGCCTCTGTGGCTGTTGGCAACACCAGCATAAGATAGGTGCAATTGTTGCGTCTGGATCGGTCTGTTGGATAGGGTGTGAACACAGAGAGCAGTGCAGCCTCCCTCCCTTACAGGGTGTTTGTGACGGGACTGAGATTCCTACCTGAAACGTAGCCGTTGTGTTTCGTATACCAGCCCTGTTTTATTTGGAACGGACAGCCAGGGTAAAAGGACGTGTCACCCTTCATTTCAAAGTCTCCCGTTAGTGCATCTTGCTAACTTTGTAGAGACCGTTCCGTCATACCCGTAGGGTCCCAGGGCAAAGCAGGTCTGCCCCCTTCAGCACCAGGGCAGCTTGCAGGCCTCTCCAGCCGCCCCCCTTGCGAGCTCTGAGCAGCACTGGGGTCTCCCCGTGGCATCGCTGGCGTACCCACTGCCCGGCCAGCCCCAGGGGCCCTGGCTGGCCTGCCCCACTTTCACTGCCAGCCTGACGTATCTCCAGCCAGCCAGCCAGCCAGCCCAGCGGGTCCACCCTGACTTTCGGGCTCTGGGGACTTACCAGGATCAAAACAATCTCTTTTGGAAGAAGTGCAAAAGCAGTTCCTTTCCAGCTTCCGCAGCCAGGTGGCTGCCTCCTCTCCGACCCTCCTCTGTTTGTTTGTTTGTTTTCCTTTTTCTTTTTGCTCGTCTTCCCATGCAAGTTTCTGCTCTTTACAGGAACTGCAGTTCCAGCAGCAAGCGGGTAATGGGGGGGGGGGGGGGGGTTGAACTGGCCTGCCTGCCCAAAAAGCCCCCAAAGGGTTGCTTAGATGGCCACCCAAGCCTTGCTGACACCTAGCCCCCTTTCCCTCAACCCCCAAACCTCTCAGTGGCTTCCCGCCTGTTCCAAAAGGTTGCAGAGTCTTTCCTAAGACTGCAAGACTGGCGGGCCGAGCTTTAAGCTAACCCTTGTTTGGGATTTTGTCCCCTCTCCTTCCACCTTTGTCCCCCAGCCTTTTCCTTTCAGCCCCACCTGTCACGAAAAATTAATCCGGCCATTGGGCTGAAATAGCCTCAGCCCCATGGCTCCGGTTCTTTCCCTCTGAGTGTGTTCCCACCTTCGTTGTCGAAATGGGAGCCACATTTGAAGGGTGCGATAGGATGGGCTTAAATATATAACCCCTCCGTTCGCCTCGCCAAGGCCAGTACCAAGGTACCGAACAAGCAGGTAAGAATGCGAGAAAGCAAACTCTTTGTCTCTGTGCAACAAGCTGAAATTTTAAAGGGATGCCAGTTTCGAGAGACAAAGCAGTGCCCCAGTCTCCCGTTTTGTTTTAGGTGCAGGACAGGAGCCGGATTGGGACCTCCCGTGCCAGACGTCTAGGGCCAGGCCTGTCTTCTGCCTTCACAACCCTGCTTTGGGGGCTTCATGAAGGCATCCGACAGCTGTCTGTCGTCCAACTGAGGAGTGGGGGGGGGCAAGAGGCAGCCCACCCACCCCCTGCAAAAGGCCAAACCTGAGCTCACCTCCGACCGTTGCATGTGCAGGGTTAAAGCGTCCTAGTAATTAATCCTCCAGCTTTCTGCATGTGGGCAAGTGCACCTTGAAAACGCACATTGTATGGGCAAAACAAATGCTGGTTTTAACTGCTTTTCCGTCTGCATTTTAAAAGCAGTGGGCCAAGAGACTTAGCACTTCTAGGAAGATAGCTTTTCCTTTCCTCTTTTTAAGGCTGGCTTCATCAGCCCCCGCCCCCACCCCTTTGACGAAACCCTCCACAGAGTGTTCAGGAAGGTAAAAGAGCCAACAACACTATGCTTTGTAACAATGAAGGCGCTTTAATTTTATTTTTCTAAAATTCTCCCTAGGTCACTGTGATAACATTGTGAAAGAGCAATTTAATATTTACGTGTGCATTCTTCAAAAAGGGGGGAGAAAGACGAAAAAATAAGTGTTTCTGTGTTTTATTACTGTAATTAATATTATAATTACTCTTATTGTTATTTTAGTTGTATATTTATGTGGTGGCAGAAGTAGGCATGAGTCTGCATTTTATTCCCCTTACGCAAACTTCATAGTGACATTGAATAGTGTATTATAAATCATTTCTACTTTTCTAACAAATGAAGCTGGATGTGGTCTTAACGATTTTGCATGGAATTTCTAAGACTGCAAGACGTGACCAGGCGGAGAGGGGCAGTAACCAACACTAAGTTAAGTAACCTGTCAATCTTTTAGAACTCTTTTTGGTGTGTTTATATTTTACTTAGGGGAGCGAAAGGTGCATTGTGCATATCTGTACACGTGTGGGTGCACGGACACACACACACAAACATCAACATCCGTTTGGCCAGTTTCTACTGCTAAAGAGGGCATGTGCTTGCTTCGGCACCTGCTGTCACTTGGTAATGCTTTCTTTGTTCTTTTGCGGCGAAACGCACAGTAGCCCTCCATTTCTAGCATGCCCATTGCCATGGGGCAGGTAATGATTTACAGGATGGCCTTAGGTAATCTTTAAGGACTGGATGCATTCTCTTCTAGACTGGCATCTCGCTTTTTGACATGTCGGGCTAAGAGGACACGGAAGAAAGAGGTGTCCAGAATTCAGCTTCCTGGCAGGTGCTGGTTCCAAGGTGCACAGGACCTGTGAACACAGCCAGGTTGCTCCAGCCCCACCCCCAGGCTCTCTGGAGCCAGGTGTGTGCTGCAGCACCTGAGAAACGAATGCAATCTTCATGAGCCAAAGGAGCCCGTCACCCTCTGGGGAAGCAGTTGCTCAGGCTGGTCGGCCGTGCTACTAAAGAGCTAAGAGCCATACAGAAGGTGAAGCAAAGGTGTTCTCTGCTGCCCAGGGGCAAAACTAGAAGCTCCAGGTGGAGAATTTAAGGATAGTGGATTTTGGCTGAGCGCTGTAGAAGCTCACATGGATAAACAGCTGGAGTGCTGAAAGTGGCACCTCTCGGATGAACGAGGGAGCTTGCTGCGACCCCCTACAGCACACTTGACCCGGGGATGCTAGGACCCACAGTCCGATACATCTAGAGGCCCCCAGGTTGGGGAGGGGTGTGACTGCGATGAGGACAGATCACGAGGGGGTTCCTCATTCTCCAGAAATCTGGAGTTGGAGGCAGCCCCACATTCCCCTCAAAAAAGCAGGGAGCATTGGGTTTGTGGCTTCCCCCCTCTTCAGACATCTTTGGGTGGAAGTCTCGGGGGGTTTTTTCCCTGCAGGAGCTTAGTACACCCCTTCCCTGCCATCCAAAGGGCACAGCTCCCTTTTAGCATAGAACGAGGAATATTTGGAGAGTTAGAAACCTGAATAAGTCATCATACTTTTTTTTGCCTTTGTACTGCTTTGTAACTGATAGAAAGTTTAGAATATCTTGCCTCCTTTCCCCTCTGCCCTACCCTAAGGACATTGGGTGCATATACACACATTTTAATGTAATATAAGTAGTGAGTCATTGTTTTGGGAGTGAGGGAGGGCTAAGTCTGGGGATTTGCTGGCTGTATAGTGTTGTCTATGAATATCTGAAAGTTGCAGATAACCTATCTTGTTTCAAGGGTTTTGTTGAAAAATTATCTTTTTTGTTTGTTTCTTTGTTTGCCTGTTTTAAAGATCATGAGGACTAGCTGCATCTTCCTGAAAAGAGGGAGGGATGTATCCAGATTATTTGGTAGAGATCAACGTATTTTGTTAAGGTCTGCTTAAAAGGCCCTGTGGAATGTCTGAGCTTCAGTTTGTGGCTTCAGCATTTCACTTTTCTCATCCATTAGCCTGTCATGGCAATTTCTGGTGAACTCTTTGCTGTGAAGGGGAATCATCCCTCTAGTTCGTTGCTCCGTAAAGTTGTTGGTTTTGGATAGAAGCTGGCATTGAGGTGACCTTCTCCAGTTCAGTGCCCCACAGTAATTCCTGTTTAAATCTCTTCTTTACAATGGGTAAAATTGCAAACTTGCATTTTTAAAAACTGCAAGATGGGCAGGGAAAGGGTTCAGCACTCATCTTTGCAGCTCGATGTCAGTATTAATTCTGAAGACTTGATGGGTTTCTTTTTTGGGGGCGGGGAGGGGGGAATAAGACCTGTTCAAACATACATATTATTTTCATCTTAAATAGTTCCAAACTCTTTATGGGAATGAGCAATGTGCATTTAACATAATGATCCATATTTCTCATTAACATTTTGAGATATATTGCTAGAGACATCCAAAATGTTTGACTTAAACAACTTAGACAGTACAAATGTAGTTACTTTTAGTTAGTACGGTGGTAGCGTTTGAGACATGGCTTTCTTTGGGCAAGGCAATTAATGTCCTTTCCAAGAGTTCAGTGGGACACCTGGAAAGCATAAAATTGAAGTGGGGAGGGGGGCGGAGGTTACCTGGGTGATTTAAATTCAGCTGGATGGAGCAGCTTCTCTTACAGAAAGACAGCTAAAAAAACTGGGTAAGTAGAAGGCAGGCAAGAGATCAGATGTCACTTTTCTGTAGTTTGGACTATGTAACATCCTGTTCTTTGCAGGTCATTTTTTAAACTGTGAGGACTAGTGGAATGACTTCACTGATATATGCAAATCCTACCACTGAGCTACAGGTTTTCTGGGGAGGGAGGGGGAAGAACTTAGGGGAACTTAGCAGGAGCACAGGAACTCAAACGTAGAAGCTTAATTTATTGTGGCTTTTCTCTCTTGGCGAATCAAAAAACAAAAACAAAAAAAACCTACAAAAAATGGAACCTGAAGGTGGCTTGTAAGCGTGTTTGTGTTTGTTCTTCTTTTTGCAAACTAAGAACATGACAATGATGTGAAAAAAAGCAGCAAAACTGTGTACCTTTTTTCAATCTTTTTTCTTTTTGTTTGTTTCCTTTTTTCCTGTGAAGGCTTTTTTTGTCTTTGTATCTTTGCATTATTTGTAAATGAAATGTAATAAAAGTTCGGCTGTTTTTCTCTCTGGGAGCCTTCTGCTTCTTTGAATACCAACAATGATTTCTGAAGACAAAGTTTCCTTGTGACGTGTCTTATATTTCCCCTGCTACCTTGGCCTCAAATATCCCAAACTTTTCCTGCACGCCAGAATTCTGCCCTACGAATATCAACGGACAATAAATACGAGGCCACTGGTTAGACGAGTAAATTTATTATCCAAATCTTCTATATTTTTGTTAAATATTTTTGTGCACTCCCTATATTTCTCCTTCCTGTTCCCAAGGTGGGCGTTAAAAATCTGCCTTACTGAGGCTCAACTTTCCCAACTTGCTGCGTTCCAGATGTGCTGGACTACAGCTCCCATCATCCTCCAGCCAGCCCCAGGGGAGTTGTAGTCCAACACATCTCAAGGGCGGCCACTTGGGCAAGGCTGGTCTCGCATGGAGCTGCAGTCAGATCAACATAAGATGCTGAACTGCCATCAACGAGTTTTTGCAGCCCTGTACCATCCCCCCCCCCCCCCCCCGCAAGAGGGCTCCCCCCCAGTCGAGTAGAGCTCCGGCTCCCATCAGCCCCAGCCGGCATGCCTCTGGAAAGTCTTCCCATCTGGCACTATTTTTGGAGGAAAGCGGGGCTTCCGCCTGCAAGGTATTGGGCCCCAGCACTGGCTTTGCCCTGAAGCGCCAAGCTGGGCACTTTCCAAGGGTGCTTAAAGTTTTCAGGCTGAATCCAGTGCAGTCTCGGGTCTTGGGACAATCAGTTCCCACTTGCAAAGGCCCAGCTTGATTTTGCGTTCCCAGAAAGCTTTTCTTTGAGATCACAAAGGGGCCACCCTCACTGGAAACTGTGCCTCTTCTTTTTGTGAAAGACACCAATCAGCACTTGAATCCTGACCGGATGGGGCTGAGCCCAGGGCAGTGGTGCCTAGTGATGCCAGACAGGCTGAAGGACTAATCTAGCCTGGCCCAGGGCCAGCAAATCTCACAGTCCTTGCTGAAGCCAAAATACAGGAAGCAGACCCTTTCTGTGGGTGACTGAGGGGAGGGTGAGCTTTTTATTTCAGCTTGACTTTGATAAGCATTTATTGACCTTCGCAAAGCTATCTTGGCCACAAAAGAACTTGAGGTTTATAAAAAGCCGAATCAAATATGGCTGAAAGCAAAGCTGACTGATACTCTATCCAGACCCAGGACATTGGGTGCTCAGCTCTTAAAAGTCTGGGCTGGAATCCCTGTGTCTTCAGCCAATATGGCATTGCCATCTTTCCCCCCTGGACAGTTTTCTCGAATACATAAGGTGATGTTGTGAACTGAGCTGGTACGGAAGGGCTTCCTTTCCTCCCTAGAGAACTTTGGGGGGCTTCTATTCAGGGGCTTTTAATATGGATTTACTGAAATGTGAGAAGAGAGGGAACGCGAGATTTTAAAAATGCAAATGCAGAAGAAAAGACTTGACAAATTCATCCGTGCTTGGGCATTCCAGAGTCTTCGGCGATGTAATTTCCCTTCTTTTGCTAGCAGTGTTCCAAGCGGTGAATGCATTCACCGCTCTTCCAGAGTGCGCGTAACAGGAAACGTGGGCAGGAATGCGCTTTAAGCCAGTCTCTGTCCACACCCAGGCAGCTCCAGGGAGGCTTGTGAGAGAGAGAGCCAGGCCACCGGCTGGAGGGGGGTGGGGGCAAGGTGCATTTGAAGACGGGGGTGCTTGCGAGGCGTTGTGTGCGGCACAACGCAGTAATATCGTAAGAGCAAAAAGCTTTGCGCGCCTGCATTGGGCTGTCTCTCTCAAGCTAAATCTGTGCAGCTTGGGCAACGGCATTTAGTAGTCTTGCTGGTTCCGATAAGACGCGTAGTCTTCGGGGATCGTGTCTGCAATTGAAAGGGGAAAGGAGTGATTGAAAGGTGTGGCTGACAAGGAGAGGCAAGGGAAGCATTTCCAGTGAAGAGGAACCGGAGCCAAACGGGCACGGTGCCTGTGATGTTTGCCTTTCCAGGAATCCCAGAGGGGCTCAAGCTGTGCTCAGCCCTGTGGCTACAAGCAGCCAAGAGCTTCGGCTCCTGGTGGCAGGCCTAAAGATCCCCAAACCAGCCATTTTCTCAGGTGTCCAAGCTCTGCTGGAGAGCCAGATGTGCAGAAGCAGCGTTGCCGGCTGTTTTCTGTGACTTGATGGCTCACCCGCACCTTCCCGCTAAGAACTATCTGCAAGGGGAGAACGTGGAGGAGGAGCTTTGGGGGTCAGTGTGAGCATCATGGTCACGGACATCCGGGACTAGCACCGTTCCTTAAGTGCCACAATGGTGCATGTAACCCATTGTGGTTGGTGCAGCAATTGCTTTGGGATATCCAAGCAATCTCTCTGTAGCATTTGGGCAGCTATGTTTTCCTCTTCCCTCCTCATCCCGCTTCCTTTTGTGTTGCTTCTCTGAGATGGTAAGCATGTGAATGTAGCCAGACGGGGAACCCAGAGGGAATACGACCTGCTTACCGTTGCAGCGATACCGCAAATTGGACCAGATGATGTTCTCCTGAGAGAAGCAGAACACGCCCAGCCGGCCTCCACGCATGGTTGTGTCAAGGACGACACCTGTGTCCGCCACCACCTCGGGGCCCTCGTAGAAGCGAGCTCTGGAAAGGAAGGAGGAAGGAGGATGGGTGGACCTCATTTCTGGCCAGCACAAGCTTTAGCCTTGGTTGGCCTAGGTCAGTGATGGTGATCCCAAAGGGGCACACACAGCCCTCTCTGACAGCATACAAGCACTCATTAGCCACGACTCTCCGAGATTTCACATGGCCGGCAGTGAGCTGCCAGGGTTTTGCTTGGACTGTGATTTTAGCAGAAGGTAGGAAATACACTCAGGTAGGAAATACGTTCAGATGCCTTTTTCAGGGCCCGCCAAAAGCTGGTGGCCAGCGGAACATTGCCCCCTTGTGCTGGTGGCCAGCAAATTCAGGTTTATTGTCGTGTTGGCACTTTTACGTATTTATTTATTTATTAAAACAGTTCTATGCCTCCCCATTCGCCGAAGCCTCGGGGCGGCTCACAACATAAATTAAAATACAAGAAATAACAATATAAAATAAGTCGCCCTGGCCAGATAAAATAAGCAAATAATATTAACAATTAAAATGACGCTTAAATAAAAAGGTCTTCGCCTGGCGCCAAAAAACAAATACTTTGCGATAAGTAAGTGGGTTCTGAGTTGCAGTTCGGGCACTCGGACTCTAAAAGGTTTGCCATCACTGTTCTAGATCTTAGTAGCTTATTAATAAAAAAACCCCAAACAAGCAAACCTAGAGTTAAGCCCAGGCAAATTTTGTATAATGAAATCAAATGGGCATTGTCTTTAGTTTTGGAAAGGAAGAGCCAAGCTCCCAAAAGCTGGGGCTTTACGGACTCCAGGCTTGCAAAATCAACAGCTTTAATGTTTTCCGACAGTTTGGAGAGGCACCTACCAAAACTTGGTGCAAAAGATTCACACCTAGAATTTACAGAATTGTGAACTTGAGGATCTTGTGTACCAGAAATGAGCAGAACTCACAAAATAAGCTACCCCCAGTCTCCTAAATCTTTCCTCGTTTTAACTGGATGATGCGGGATTGGATGGGAGTCATTCCTTCCCAGTCCGCTTCAGGATTCCCAGGGACATCTCAGCTGCCTCTTTTCCTACCTCTGCATTGCTTTAAACTCCTCCTGTTCGTTCATTCCGAATGCTTACTGAAGTTTTCAAACATCTTTCATTAACGGCCAAGACTAAGGCTATCCTGAGCTCACTTCATTGAATTTCTTATTTTTACCTTTTCAGTCAGATTTGGCAGAGCTTCTTATATTTAAAAATGGGAAAATCTCCTAAGAATGCCATCTAAAACTCACATGAGCAAATTAAAAGCAAACTGCAGCACTAAAAGAGAATAAAAAACCATTTAAGAACACCAGAATCCATCAAGTGCCTCTTGAAATTTATAAAAAACTCTTCACCATATAAAAATGGGAAGAGAAAGAAGCAGTTGGGTTTGTCTGGAGAAGAATCCTGAACAGCAGTGCCACCACCAAAAAGGCCCTTTCCCGAATCCAGGCAGGACGTCAGCTGTGGGTGGACCAAGAACAATACCAGCCGGCTCTGTCGGGATCGGTGCTTACCTGATGTAGCCCACCTGGGGCCGGTGCTGCAGGAACCAGCGGTAGGAGGTCTTGTCTTTCCACCCCACGTTCCGGGGGTCTTTCCACAACAGCTTGACCTGGTCAGCCGTGTCCCCTGTGTGCCACAGCGAGTTTCGGAGATACTCCCCGGGGCCCGTCCTGGACTTCACCGCCTGGGGTGGAGGGCAAGCGATGCAAAGGACACATTTAGGAAGTGCAGCTTGTAACCTTCTCATTGTTGTGGGGCCACGACACCCTAGCGGCCTCGTCATCATCTGGGGATTCTCTCCTGTACACACCCTTAGGGCTTCGCAATTCAGGAAAGTGTGAGGTTTGGCAAAGCTTGTTGGATTAAGGATGCCGACAGCTGAGGTGAGGCGGGAATTGCCCCTGACCTGCAGGACCACGCCCCCATTTACACGGCCCACCATGCACCACGCCGGGAAGGCCTGGTGTGTGGAAGGAACAAGCCCACACACACCCCAAGCTGTGGGTCTTGGAGCGGGGAGGTCCTTGTGCCTGGAAGTGGGGCTCTCCCCATTCTCACGGCCCCTCGGAGCTTCCCGGGAGCTGGCTTCTATACCTTGAGCTGAATCCCGGGCTCCGCCACTGCCCGGAACGGATTTGCCTGCCAGTACGTTTGCTCCATCTGCTTCCACATGACCACATAGAAGCTGGAGCTGTCCTGATAGCCGAAGATGAAGCCGGCATAGTCGTCGTCCGTGGCCGTGTTCACGTGGAAGGTGCCCTCGAAGTCCACCCCATTAAAAGCCGTGTACCCTCAACCGGGGGAGAAAGCAGAGGAGACGTCACACAGTGCTCAGCAACCCGACTGGGTGCTTCGATCTCTCCGGGCTGGAGTGTGTGTGTGTGTGTGTGTGTGTGTGTGTGTGTGTGTGTTGGGGGGGGGGCTTCAGGCCTCCATCCACAGAGCAGCCGCTAAAGCAGGGGCGCAGGAGCTCAGATAACACCCCCTTCCCCAGCCAAACCGTCTCTCCTCGCCCTGCACCGATCAGATCCAGCCTTGTTCCTCCATTCTGAAGCGTAAATGCCGCTCCAGAGGCACAGTTCCTGGGAAGAAGTGCTTTAAACTAGAGCATCTGTTATTTCTGGCTCTGTGGCTTTTGTCTTCAGCCTCACACGCTCCTGGGATGTGGCCCTCGGAGGGCTTCTCTCCAGTGGATTTGGCCCTTGGACTTAACATGCCTTCCAGGTGTGTGGGATTACAACTCCCAGAATACTCCAGCCAGCATAGCATTGCCAGCACACTTCTAAGCCTGTTTTCACAATCATGAGGGCTAGATACTTGGTTTAACAAAACAAAACAAGCAGCGGGTTCTGGTTCTGCATGGGCACATTTTGGGGTTTTTAACAAGGTAGCTCAGGGTGGCCAACCTGGGGCCAAAACATCTGGAAGTCCACAATTTGGGTTGGTCGTGGCCTCTATAGTGGGGGTTAAGGGTGGTGGCTGAACGGAATCAATAGCATCTGTTTTGAAAAGCAACCACGGTTTCTACTCATCCTTCAACAAACCCATGAAACAGACACATTTACTTTTTTAATCAGAACTGGCCTATTAATTATTCCTGGCTACAAAGCAATATTTATTTATTAAATTAGTTTAAAAGCTGCCCATTAAGCAACATCCTTTCTGGGCAGCCATTGCCATATAAAGCCAGCAAGGTAACCAAGTTAGTCAAAATCCATCTTTGTTTAAGGACGGTCAGAGAAATTAAATTTCAGACAGCGCAACATTAGTGCATTTGTAGGTATTGAAAGGCACATGTGTTTTTAAAGCAGAAATAAGCAAGGAGCACTTCTGGTTAAGAAGAAAGGCTCGCTTACCGACAGCCAGGCCTGGGTCACTGTTCATAGTTTGGACGATCTCCATACCCTGAGAAAAACAGCATTTTTAAAGAAGGCCGGTGGTATGGAAGCTCTAAGCACATCTCACAAGAGAGGATATTGGATTGGCACGCAATATCCTTGGGCCTAGACAGAGCAGGACTATCCATGGCTAACCTCCATGTTCAAGAGCAGTCTACCCTGGAATTTCCAAGAGACCCCACGAGCAAGGTTTGTTTGGGCCTTTCCTCATGTTAGCTGCAGGTTGTGGCTAACGGAGGCATCTCCAGACTTTGGGTCTCTGAACTGACAACGCTTTGCCTCCAAGCCCCCAGCACGTGATACAGTCATGAAGTTTGGGGCCTTCTCCAAGCAAGGGCTGAGTTCCACTATGGAGGAGCTTTCAGGGGCCGCCTCCCAGAGATGGAAGGGGCACAGTGCCAGCGTTATTTCTGATTAAAGCTCTTCCAAGCTGTCGCTCGTCCGTCTGAGGGCCGTTTGGCCCTTCCCTTTTAGGGAGGAAAGTGGGCCAAAGACAAGGTGGGCTCCTTGTCAGGCAGGGAGCTGAGGCTCAGCATCCCCCAGATAAGCAAGGGGGCACAGGGAGGAAAGAAGCCTGGTAATTTATTTTTATTTTTATTTATTTAAAGTTTTTCTATGCCGTCCCATTGCTCAAAGTTTCTGGGCAGCTTATAAAGAACAAAAGGACAAAAAACCCATAAGAACAACATGCAACACCCTCACCCAATAAATAATGATAAAAACAAGAATAAATCCAATTAATTGATAAAATACCGCGAAAATAAAAAGGTTATGCCAAAAAGAAGAGAGCGACGGCGCCAGGCAAACCTCCCTGGGGAGCGTGTTCCACAGTCGGGGTGCCACTGCTGAGAAGGCCCTTCTCTGAGTAGCCGCCCTCCCGACCTCCTTCAAAGATGGTTCCCGGAGAAGGGCCTCCGCCTCCGATCTCAGGGGGGTGGGCCGGCACGTAGGGAAGCAGGCGCTCGCTCAGGTATCCAGGACCCAAGCTTTATAGGAATTGGGCCCGGACTTCAATTGGCAGCCAGTGTAAGCGATACAGGACTGGCGTGATATGGGAATTAATATCTGCCATTAATAACTTGGCAGCTGTATTTTGGACCAGTGGAAATATTCGGACCACCTTCAAGGGCAGCCCCACATAAAACACCATTGCTGTAGCCCAAACAGGAGGTTACCAGAGCGCGGGTCACCATTACTAATTATTAACATTTCTTTTTTTATAGTAAGTTTTATTTGAAATTATAATCCTAAAAAACAAAAAGAAAACTACAAACAACATCAGTCATCAAAAACATCGAGCCTGCCGGGTCAGCCCCCACACCCTTCTTTTTCCATTTATGATAACTTAAAAATATATTTAAATCTAAGCCAAGTCCCGTTTCTCTAGCCAGTAATAAAAAGAGTCTCACGTTTGACAGAAGTCAGTATCTTCTTTCTTCAATGATAAAGTCAGTCTATCCATTTCTGCACAGTCCAAGATCTTTTTTAGAAACTAATTATTAACATTTCTGCTCTGCCCATTGCTGAATATTCTGCCCGGGACTTTGCTGCTGTCCCCACCACAGTAGCAGGAAGAGGGGTCCTGCACTCCCAAGCGTGCAAAGAAAGTGTGGGGCGCAGGAGCCCCCCATCCCCATGCAGGGCTGGGCAAATATTATGATTATTTATTTATTGTTGTGAGCCACCCCGAGGCTTCGGCAAATGGGGCGGCATAGAAGCTTCCGAAATAAATAAATAAACCTGCCTCGCGGCCTCACCTGGTTGAGGACTATCCAGTTGGGGTCTATCTGGGCATCCCCCTCGGGGTCGAGCACCACGGTCTGGAAGGCACGGAAGTCGGTCAGGGTCACCTGGGCGTTCTCGGGGCAGACGTCAATCCGGTCGATGACTTGATCCCTGTCGAAGTCATCCTCGCAGGCGTCCCCGATGCCGTCGCCTGCAACAAGAGGACTGTGAAAGAGCCATTGTGGTGTCTTTTATTCCTTTTAAAATTTGGGGAGTTTAAGGCATTTTTGCCCACATGGGAGGATGCCTGTTGCAATTATGTATGAGTCACTCCTCTCCTTTGTCCCTTCCCCTCCAGTCAGCTTGCCGCTCTACCAAGTCTCTGCTCTGAGTGCCTGTGGCATATGGGCAGTGATCCTCTTTGTCGGGGGAATCTGCTCCGGACAGACTGAGTCTGCCAGCAGCTTACGGGTTTCTGTGTCTAGGTTTCCTCCCTTGCTGGGGAAAGTCGAAGGCAGAAGAAGGGGACGAGGCCAAACAGGAGAGGGGTGGGGTCCATCAAGGCAGACGCAGCCCAGAATCGGCAAGAGCCGAGCAGGGCTGCCGTGGACGGAACATTTTGGAGGGCTTCACGGACAGCGGAGGTGACCTGACGGCACAGGACCGCTGCCCTACACGGTGGGAGATGCGGTTGCTGGTGGAACACCTCTCCCGAGCTGAATCTGCCTGGACATTGCAGGCCTTCCCCAGCACCTCTTCCAGGAGAGGAAGTGCGGAGCCTTCGCTGTGGTGGCTCCCTGACTGTGGCAGGTTCTGGAGCCACCTCTGTCATCTTTGGGATGCCAGATTAGGGCTGCCCTCGTCTCCTGGCCATTGGACAGCCCACAGTGGAACAGGTCAGCTGCCTGCAGGAGTCTAAACTTGTCAAAATGCTGGATGTTGAAATATTACGCTGCACTTTGTGCTGGATTGTTGGGCCGACTGGAGGCAGAGCATGCGCCTAGTCCTCACCGTCTGTATCTTGCTGACCAGGGTTGGGGACCAAGCGACAGTTGTCCGGGCCTGGGGCCCTCTTATCAGGAATGCCGTCGTTGTCGTCGTCGTCATCACACTCATCTCCGATTCCATCCTGGTCTGAGTCCAGCTGGGAGCTGTTGGGCACCGACGGGCAGTTGTCCTGGGAATCCTGCAGACCATCTCCATCTCTAGGGTTCGGGGACAGACAGAGGAGGGAATTTGCCTGAGGTGAAGTGAATGTCAATTTAGGACAACCCAGCCCAAAGGAAACCAGTGAGGTTTCCACTCAGAGCCATTATGGTGTCTTTTATTCCATTTAAAATTTGGAGAGTCTAAGGCATTTTTGCCCACATGGGAGGATGCCTGTTGCAATTATGTATGAGTCACTCCTCTCCTTTGTCCCTTCCCCTCCAGTCAGCTTGCTGCTCTACCAAGTCTCTACACTGAGTGCCTTTGGATGGTTCAGGATTAGAGTATGACCTTCCCTTGGAGGAGTCTGCCTGTCGCATCTCTGTAGGACTTGCTGCTCTGGGGTTGCTTCCTCTACCTCCCCAAAGACACACACCCATGGCTGCAGTGGTTGCTTTCTGGATTTGTAATGCAGTTACCCAGGGATCTGTCTGGAACCCCAAACCAGTGGCAAGCAGAACGAGGCCAACCTGTTTGCACAACTCACCGGTCCTGGTTGGTGTCGCAGGGGTCGCCGACGAGATCGTGGTCTGTGTCTTTCTAAACAAGAAGAAGCACCACCGAGTTACATTTTTTAAAAAGGAAAATACATTTTAGGAAGTAATATCCTACAGTGTTTTGAGAAACTCTAGGCCCTGCATTTCTTGACTGTTGACTGAGAAGAGTACACATTTTAACCTCACCTCCTATTTTAAATTTATTTATTTATTTATTTATTATTTAGGACATTAATATGCCATTCACCACTTTCGTCTCTGGACGGCTTACAATATCTCTTTTCTTAAAAGTTCGAAATCTTACAAGCTACCTCAACTCCCTAGTGCAAGTCTCTAGAAAATCTGTGATTTTCAAGCACTGGGCCTTCAAGTCTGTAGCCATCCTGATTTTTTAATTTAAAGATGTGTACGCTGCATTTCCTCAAAGGAAGATGGTGCCGTCCAGGCAATGCGTTTGCACTTTCCCAAGACAGCTTTGTGGATCAAAAGAAAATGCACATGTGAACTGTTCACATATGCTTGTCACGTGTATTGTGTATGTTAATGCTAGAACAGTCGGCTTCAGGTACGGGCAAGGGTGTGAAGTCAAAAGTTTAAAACTTAAAAACAAGACAACTGTTGACACGAGACCCTGGAAGCAGAAATGCATCTAAACAAGGATGTTTGAGTTAGCCGAATCAAAATTGCTCTGGTCCCTAATAAATTTTGCAGCTCTTGGGTGACCCTATTCTCCCCTGGATGCACCTGGAAGGCCGTAGAAGACTTCAGTTCCCCAGATACCAGGTTGGAAAAGACCTCAGAGCTGGGGGTCCGAGCTCAGAGATTTCCCCTCGGCCCCCTCATCCCACAATTGCCACAGAAGGCTTCAGTTGTGCCCTAAAATTTAGAACTTCTCAATGCCACAAATACCCCCAGAGCATCAAGGATGGAGACTTAATAGCAAAGGTTTCGCCTCCATATTGGCCTTCTAACAACAGCATGGCGTCACATGAAATTTAGCTAATGTGAAAACCACTCAGTACTTTGGAAGTTAGTTGCTTTCCCTAAATACTTTGCAACATGTTAGAAAATGAGAGCCGATAGCCCACGAGAAAACAGGCACGGCTGCAGCCCGTGCCAACGGATCCCGTCTGCATCCCGAATTCTCTGTCTAATTAAAGAAACGCCTCGCGATCGCTCTTTTGCAAGCCCAGATGTTGATGGAAAAACCAAACCAGTGGAGGAATTTTTTTTCTTTTTTTCTACCTAGACGCATGAGAAATATCGGGATTCTACAGATTGGTAAGAGAGCGGCTACCACTCAGGAAAAGACCCAAGACACCGCTGCCGTCTCCTTCCCACTTGGATCGGCAGTTACCTGATCTGGGTTGCTGATCAACGGGCAGCTGTCGCAAACGTCGCCCACACCGTCGCCATCGCTGTCCTTCTGGTCTGGGTTCGGGATCCTCACGCAGTTGTCCAGAACATTCTTGATCTCTGCAGAGGCGCAAATGGAAGTCAAGACCAGCAGCCAAGCTGTGTGCGTTATTTAGTCTGAACTGCGTCTTCCAGTGATATTTAAAAAAGCATCCCCTTCCGCTTCGCATTCTCCCCTTGAAAAGAGCGTGGCATGCCCTGCTCGGGGAGTGGACTTGAGCCCTTAAGAGCAACCCCACTGGATCAGGCCCAGGGGTCCATCTGATCTCACATTCTATTCCAATGACGGGATTGCAACAGCTCCCTCCTGCCATGTTTCCCAGCACACAGCCTCTGATACTGAGGACAGCGTAGAGACATGAGGACTAGTCACCATGGATATCCTCATGAATTTTTCCTTTTAAAACTTCTCTAGGTGAGCCGGTGCAGAGCAGACTGGGCCTTGGCAATCCGGGTTCTAGTCCCCACTTGGCTGAGTAACTCACTGGGGGACTTAGGACCGGCCTGGTCACTCAGCCTGACCTACCTTGCAGGACTGTTGTATGGATAAATTACAGAGGATCACAAGAATTGCCTTAGACTCCTTGCAAGGTGAACAAAGGCGGGATAGCATAGAATCACAAATAATAAGACCGTCCCGAGTCTTTACTAAAATTGTGCTCTCGGGATGTGTTTGTGATGCCGGGTTGGGGCAGTTTGGCTTTCCTGGAATATCATTTAAATAGTTCTGGAGAACATCTGAACATAGCTTTAAAATGGTTTGGACAGATGAGTGTGCCTCTGTGTGTACTGTCCATTTGTATGCCTGCAGGCATATGGTTTTGATAATTCGTTTTCTATGGATTTTATTCATTTATTTAACGCTTTTATATGCCATCCTCCACTAGGTCCCAGGATGGTGATACAATAAAATAAAATAAAAGTAAGCATCAACATCAAATAGAGCAAGGGAAATCACATCTTTAAAACAACGTTAGCACTTAAGTAGCAGGAATATGAACAGGTTTTGGCTGGGCACAAAAATGGAAATAGGGCTGGTGTCAGGCAAACCTCTCTGGGGAGTGTATTCCGCAGCTGGGGTGCCACTGCAGAGGAGGCCCCGCTCCGGGTAGCCGCTCTCCTGCTCTCTTTCAAAGAGGGCTCCCGAAGAAGGACCTCCGAAGCAGCTCTTATGGGGTGGGCGAGCACATAGGGAAGGAGACACTCCCCCAAATATCCAGGTCCTAAGCTGTTTAATCTTCTTAAACTGCCTACAGAGGTTTGGTTATTTATTTATCTTTGGTATATAAACATGATAGACGAATGAATGAATACCTGATTATGTGATTATTAGGTGATTATGTTCTGCTGCTGAGACTTATTATGTTAATATTATTTCATTATACTCTTTTCGGTGCCGGGCCAAAACCTTAGTATTTAAACAGTATTTTAAAATTTAACAGCTTTTAAGTTTAGTCGCTCTGTTTGTTTTGTGATTTATTCTTTTGTTCTATTATTTATTGAAATTGTTGTTTTAATTGTTTTTAAATATTGTAAGCCATCTGGAGATCCTGTATAATAGGACGGCATACAAAAGCTTTTAATAAATAAAATAATAAATAAATATTGTACTAATAAATAAATGATATTAATAACGGGCAGTACAGAAACAAAACTGTTACCATTAGGCAGGATATTTTATTTATTTATGTATTTATTTAAAACTTTTATATGCCATCCTCGATGCGTGGCATCTCAGGACGGCTTGCCCACATAGGACAGAAATGAAGCTGTCATTAATGATGACAACTCTATTTCTCTCCCACCCCACTGCCGTTATTTCCATCTTCTTATCCTCTCTGCTCAGGACCTGAGTGTTGGGAGGCTTAAAAGGCTTAAAACAGTAATTTATACTGTCAAATTATATTGTTTTAGGTTACGTTATTTATTTATGATTGTGAGCCTCCCCGAGGCTTCGGCAAATGGGGCGGCATAGAAGTTCCCTAAATAAATAAATCCATAAATAAACAGGTGGCCGGAGGGCACTCACTGTCTCCGTCCATGTCGTCGTCACACAGGTCCCCCTTCCCATCCCCATCGCTGTCTCGCTGCCCGTTGTTCTTCACGTGCCGGCAGTTGTCACAGGCGTCCCCGAAGTTGTCCTGGTCGGCATTGCGCTGGTCCGTGTTGCGCACAAAGACACAATTGTCCTGGTGCACGGAGGAGACACAAGTGGCCATGAGGAAGGAGCCACAGAGATGAGAAAAGGGCTGTTGCCGGAGGTCGGCGTCAGACCACACACCCCATCCCTGCCCTATTCCCAGGATGTCAAAACCGGCGGTTTAGGGCGAGCTGTCCCATAGCTGGCCAAACTTTTGTGCCAGCTTAGAAACATAGAAGCATAGAAACAGAGCGAGTCAGAAGGGGTCTCCCGGGCCATCTAGTCTGACCCCCGGCTCCAGCCGGCTCGATAAAGGTTTCCCCTTGACGTTATGTTTGGCAGGAGCTGAGACGGACCTACAGGACTCGCCCCGTTCTGCAGATTCGAACTGGCAACCTTTCGATCTACCAGCCCAGCAGCACAGCACTTTAACCCACTGCGCCACCTGCAGTCCCTAAAAATAAGCGTGAATGCAGTCCCCCAGTAGCACAAATTATGCAGTCGAGTTTCCCGCATTTGGGGAAATCACAGGGGTCAGCGCACCCGGGGTGCAAGGAATGAGCCCCACCCTGGGAAAACCTCCGTCGTGATCAAGGTGTCTCCCCTGCTTGTCTGATCCCATTTAAATGGTTAAAAAAAGATAAATTATCCCACTGGATCACATTCTTCCTTGGATCCAAGCACGGCACGATGGAAGGATGATGGGACATGGCTGTTTTCTGAGATCCTGGGAATAGAACTGGAGGGAGGTGGGTGGCTCTGTAGCGCACGGGGTGGGGACATGAGGCCTGACCTCGGTGTTTTTGATCCCGTCCCCGTCAGCGTCGTCGTCACAGGCATCCCCGATCCCATCTCGGTCGGCATCCTCCTGGCCGGAGTTGGGAACGGTCACGCAGTTATCCTGAAGGGCCAACCGAGGGCCAAATGTTAGGAGCAGAAAGGAAATAACCTTTTCATTTCGCACTGGAGGAGGCCAAGAAAGGAGATGAGCAAGCCAGCTGGGCACCCACTTCATGCCCTTTGGAGCAGCCACGCAAGCCCTTTGATTTCCCCAGGCATTTTTTGCTCCTCCAGTTCATCGCTCGAAACCTGTTCCTGCGTTTTAAATCTTTGCATTGCTCTTAGATTTGGCTTTATTTTCTTTTCAGGTTAGGCTGCAGCTTTAAACTTTTGTTGTCTCTTTCATGGTATGTTATGGTTTTAATTGTTGTGAATAGCCCAGGGAGCTTTGGCAGCAGAAGATGCCTAATTAAATAAAGATATTATATTACTGAGATGTTTGTTTTTCAAAAGAACAGAACATTTTAAAACTCCAAGCCTTTTCCTGCTAGTCCTGTTGCATAAGGGGAAATGTAGGGCTTTTTTCTCTAAATTTGCACTGGATTGCACCTTAAATCGTTTTTGTTTTGTTTTTTTGTGAGGGTGCAAGAAAAGAAGAAAGATCACAAAATCAGTTGGAAAAACACGAGATTAACATTGGAATGTGTCAGTTTTGCTGTTTTATCCTGTTTTACCTTCTTAGGGTTTTCATTTCACTGCTGTGATGGCAGCAAAACTGGTGTAGAAATGCTATTTTTAAAAAAGGGTTCGCATCGTTGGAACCGATTATGATTCGGTTCTTCAGCTTTGTAACCTGGCAGTTATTCACAAAATAAATTTGTTTCTGATGTCCCAGCATAGTGGGATATATAGGGCACACTGGGGCTTTTTTCCCAGCTTGGGAATCCTGGGAATTTTAGGGTTTTTTCTGCCCACTCAGGCATGCTGGTTGTCCTAGGACCTGCATCCATCCGGCTGCCTATGTTCTTAGCCTGCTGCATTAACAGGGAGCCTGAAGTCGGCCAGCAGAACCGGGGAGGCCGGAAAAGACCCACAGTCTGACTTGGCCCGTGGGTGGAGGGCTTGTGGTGTGGCAGAGAAGAACTCTTACCTTGTGGCACTTCCTGTCACTGCAACGAAGCTTCTCGTCCGGAAAGCCGTCAATGTCCGTGTCTTTCCCACAGATGTAGCCGTTTCCAGCCCATCCAACGTTGCACTGGGCAAAGAAAGCTGCTCGTGAGTAATAATTCCCAGTCCAGGTGAGAGAAGCCCCTGGAGGATTGGGACCAGGGTGGGCTGCCCCCACTGGAGGAAATCAGGTGCAAGTATTTGCATAGCCCTGCCTCTGGGCCTGAAGCCAGGGAGGGCTAAGGGGGACCGATTCCTCAATTTTCTGTTCCCCACTTTATTTTTATTTTCAAGCAATTGCCAAACCGACTATAACTCTGTCTTTGAAAGGTCTACAAATTGTTCTCTGTTCTTGAAGGGGATAAATTTCAGGTTTACCACCCCGCCTGCCCTCAAACCAAGTGAGAGAGAGAGCCCACCACTAGATCCAAAAGCGGAGATGGGTTTGATGGCATCTCCCATCATTCCCAGCCAGCAGGGCCATGCTGGGCATCTCCTGTCCCTCCCCACCTCCATGACCTGGGCCAGAAGAAGAGGCAGGTGAGCCAGGAGGCTGAACTTGCAAGAAGGACAGCGACTCTAAAGGGGCCCTCGACACCAGCCCTCAGCCCAAGGTGTCTGGAGGGACGCTTCCCTTTTCACTCTGCACCTGAGCGCTGCCTTTCAAATTTCGAAGGCCTTTCTGGAGCAGAAGGCAACACTGAAAGGGAGACCAGCAGGCTCTGCCGCTCAAACCCACGCCACCCTCATTTCCGGATCCCTGGCTCTTTTGGAGAGAAGCCAGATAAATCTATGGACTCACCACACAGGCAAGCGTCCCATCGCGCTCAATGATACACTCTGCTTTTTCGTGGCACGGGCTCAGCTCTCCGTTGGGGCACCGCCGCTCAGTCTTGCTCCGGCAGCCAGAAACCTGGTCTCCAACAAAGCCACTCTTGCACGCCCCACATTTGTAGGAGCCCTGCCAGAAGAGAAGTCGTGTCATCCCACGCCCGTGCCTTTAGCCAGCCCCAAATCCATTTCCCAGGGCCTCAGATCTGCTCCTCAAAGCTATTGAGAGTCGGTTGGTGCCCAGAGGGAGGGTCTGAAGAGCCAAAGGGGTTTCTGTTCTCCGCTCTCATGCACCACCGCTGTGATCCGGGAAACCTGCCCCAGTATTTCCCCCTGCCCTGTCTTTTATCCTTATGAATCTGTGGCATCCAGGCCTATCACTTTCTGGCAAATAGATGAGGAAGAGATGGAGGTAGTGACAGATTTTATTTTCCTGGGCTCCAGGATCACCGCAAATGGGGACTGCAGCCAAGAAATTAAAAGACGCTTGCTCCTGGGGAGGAAAGCTATGGCAAACCTAGACAGCATACTAAAAAGCAGAGACATCACCCTGCCAACAAAAGTGCGTATAGTCAAGGCGATGGTCTTCCCAGTTGCAGTTTATGGCTGTGAAAGCTGGACCATAAGGAAGGCTGAGTGCCAAAGGATTGAGGCCTTTGGACTGTGGTGCTGGAGGAGACTCCTGCGAGTCCCTTGCACCGCAAGGCGATCAAACCGGTCAGTCCTGGAGGAGATCAACCCTGACTGCTCTTTAGAAGGCCAGATCCTGAAGATGAAGCTCAAATACTTTGGCCACCTGAGAAGGAAGGACTCCCTGGAGAAGACCCTGATGCTGGGGATGATGGAGGGCAAAAGAAGAAGGGCACGGCAGAGGATGAAGTGGCTGGATGGGGTCACTGGAGCAGTCGGCCTGAGCTTGGGTGGACTCCGAGGGATGGTGGAGGACAGGAGGGCCTGGAGAAGTGTTGTCCGTGGGGTCGCGATGGGTCGGGCACAACTTTGCAACTAACAACAACAATGTATGGCTGTGAAAGCTGGACCATAAGGAAGGCTGAGCGCTGGAGAATTGAGGCCTTTGAATTGTGGTGCTGGAGGAGACTCTGCGAGTCCCTTGGACCGCAAGGAGATCAAACCAGTCAATCCTAGAGGAGATCAACCCTGACTGCTCTTTAGAAGGCCACATCCTGAAGATGAAGCTCAGATACTTTGGCCACCTAATGAGAAGGAAGGACTCCCTGGAGAAGAGCCTGATGCTGGGAACGATTGACTGGAAAAGGGGAAGGGGATGGCAGAGAACGAGGTGGCTGGATGGGGTGGACACCGGGGGATGGTTGAGGGCAAGAGAGCCTGGAGGAAGGTTGTCCATGGGCTTGTGATGGATTGGGCACAACTTTGCGACTAACCACAACAAGAACAAAGACCAAACCCTTTTTATTTTCCCAATGTTTTAAGACCTGATTGTTTTAATTGGAGTTTTATTATTAGCCAAATGTTAGGCTGCTGTGTTCTAATTTTTTTTTTTTTTACATTTTGTATTGTTAAACCATCCTGAGACTTCGGTAATGGGACAGCCTATAAAAGTTTTAAATAAATAAATAAATAAATAAATACCCTGCTTTATTTCTATCCTAAATTCTTGGATGACATTGTGAACAGCAATGGGGTCTTTGTCTCAGCAAGAAAACTGTCTGCTGTTTTTTTTTTTTTTTTTTGCCGTGCCTCCAAAACCAGGAACTTTCCCAGGTGGGCGGCTCAGCTAAATGTAGACACCTTTTATCGCCGCTCGTGTGGTGCAAATTCTTCCAGAGCTTATCTAACTTTATCCACACTTTTGCTAAATTTATTTGACTGCCAAATATTGCCAACCAACCTCTGTTGGGATGAAAGTCGGATGGAAGGTGAATTCCAAACATAGGTACGGAACAAGATGGAGTTTCTCAGGTATAGCTGTTGAATGGGCCCAGACCTCGGCCTGGTGTAAGGTAGGTAAATATGGTTCCCCAGCCACATATTTTATTATTCCAGGTAATCATACCAAAACTAAGTCTTTTGCTTTATACTACACCAACCCTCCTCATCCGAGTGCCTCAATACTCAGCCCCTGTTCCCTAAAACTCAAAATAGACCTCAGTACAAACTCCAGTAAAATGTGAAGATTTCTTTTAATGCAGCAAAATGTATTTGGTTAATGAATCTTCCAAAAGGAATGTTGAGAATAGCGGCACCATTAGGATAAATCCAGTTCTTTGCTTGCCAGAACCGCTATGGGTTTTTCAACCGTTTTGGTCTCTGCTTCCCCTTTTAGTTTCTCTTCCTCTAACTCTTAACATTAATTATCGAAGCAGGTGGCCAAACAATTCAGACAGTCTTTCGCGCTCCTGAAGGACCAAAGTCCATCTATAAAAATGTCCCACTCCAAAAGGAATTTAATATCATAAAATCTTTCTATTAAGCTGAATCTGGACAGCTTTCCTCTCATAGAAAGGAGCTGCTGCAGATGCTGTTCGAATCTTCACCTGAGCAGTCTGGGAGAGTCAGACTCTGAGTTCCCAAGTCCCTTCCATCCTGAAATAACTTCAGAAGTCATGCTCACCCTGGTGTTGATGCAGATGGAATTCGGGACGCAGGTCCTGGCCGCTCCTGTCTCACATTCATTGATGTCATTGCACACCTGTATGGAAAACAGAGTGTGTGCAGATCATCACACTCACTTGGGGATGGATTTTCCCAGCAACAAAAGGTTCTGTTGAGAAGGTTCCTTTTTGCAATGCAAAGTATTTTGGTTTTCTGTGGGCAAATAAGGTGCCTATGTGGAATGGAACATCTCTGTTGACTTTGCGATAAATTGTTTCTCCCTGCTGCTAGGAATGGGAAAATCCTGCTACATTGTGAGCTTGTGCAGTTTGGGGATCTTCACTGAACTTTGGAAATTGGGGCTCCATCGGCAACTACACACTAAGTCACTGTGCAACATTCCCATCAGATCATATTCTCTAGATTTTCCTACTTAATACTGCAGTACCGGACTAAAGCCCCCAACTGCCATAGCACTCAGCTCTCTAAAGTTCCTTGGAGTTAGCTGAACACAGGGGGGTGCATTGAAGTGCATTGCCGGGCTTTGCTCGCCTCTTTTATTAAGAGAATCATATATAGATATAGATGAATATGAGAGAGGAGATCTCTCTCCCACTCCCAGTAAAACCCAGAAGGGCCATGTTAGAGTTGCCATCCCTAACAGAAGAAAACCCATTCCTCTGGGGCTTACCTGCTTATGGGTCCTGGCAAATGACAAGCCAACTCCTTCAAGAACTGGCCCAGTGTAGCCGGGAGGGCAGGACTCACAGCGGAAACCGGGAACCGTGTTGATACATTGGACTCGGGGGAAACACGGATTTGCTGTGCACTAGAAAAAGAAGTCTCACTTACGGATGGGGAAAAATGTGTTTGTAATGCATGCAATTGGGAAGGCACATGAGAATCAAAACATAGTTACCCCGTGAAATTCCCACCTCTCTCAGTTCTGTAAGGGAGTTCCCCACTCAAAACAGGGATGCAGAAATTTATTGATTATTAGTGGAAATGGGTATATATATATTTTTTGGAAAATGTGTTGTTTAGTCCTCCAGTGAAGATGTTACTGCAACCTTCGGCCTCCCTCGTGGCCTTACTTAAATTAATCAGCACTAATTTGTGCATTTTCAACATGGTAATCTAAGGCACATCCTTCCAGGTTCCCCTTAGCATCCATGCCAAGGTTCAGCTGCGTAGGTTCTTAGGTCTTGGTGCAACGGGGCTGATGGATGGACAGACAGACACGTTTTCAGCTATTGTTACAGAAGGAGCAAATTGGTATTTCAGCCACGTGCGGGTGTGTCATGAGCTGGAGGCAGAGAGAGAAACTGACCTCGTTGATATCAGTGCAATAGGTCCCGTTGCCTGTGTAACCCAAAGGACAGGCCCCACAGCGGAAGCCGGTCGGGGTGTCCGTACAGGTGACCCCCGGGAAGCAAGGGTTGGGGAAGCACCGGTTCAGAGCTGTCACGCTGATGGCGGGGCCCGTGGCACCTGTGCCCATTCCTGGGAAAGTGGAGAGAGAGAAAGGAAAGATGAGCCAACTCATTTCGGCCTCCGCAGGCAAACGGGTCTCCTCGTGTGAGTTCCGTTCTATCAAACTTATTTATTAGATTTATACCCTACCTTTTTTCTTACAAAGAACTCAGGGCAGCTCACATAATTACTTAGAAGAATCTCCTGGCACTTCAAGAGAGTCTGTGGCACTTTAAAGCTTCACGTGGCACTTTGAAACATCGTGTGGCACTTTAAAAGCATCATGTGGTACTTTGAAGCATCATGTGGTACTATGAAGTGTCGCGTGGTACTTTGAAGTGTCACGTGGCACTTTGAAAGCATCACATGGCACTTTGAAGCGTCATGTGGCGCTTTTAAGTGTCACGTGGCACTTTAAAACATCTTGTGGCAATATAAAAGCATTGCGTGGCACTTTGAGGTGTTGCGTGGCACTTTAAAGATTAATGGATTAATTAGTTGCGTGGAAGTTTAAAGAGTCACGTAACACTTTGATGCATCTTGTAGCATTTCCTGGCACTTTATACCGTCCCGTGGCACTTTCAAGACCAACCGTAATGCCTGTCTAATGTGCCACGATTTCCTCAATTCCTCCATTTCCTCAGTGGACAAACAGAGTTAACCCTTTCGGGACTTGGTAAGTACGCAGATGCCCGCATTAGTCAGTGAAAGAGGGACTTGTGCTTGTGTGCTGGTGAGGGTGTCCTGCGGGCTAAGATTCAGTGCAAAAGAGCAGCGGCTGCACCAAGAAGCTGAAGCAGAACAGCACACTGCAAGGCTTAAGCTGCCACTGCATCCAGCTGGAAGCTCTGTGTGAATCGAGTTCCGCATTGTTGGGCAATTATCGGCCGCGCCTTGGGTGGAGCTCTCAGGCGGTGGCCCCAGCTTGTCACAGCTGGCCTGATGCACCTGGGCAGTGGGGCAAAACGGGGTTACAAAACAGACCTGCTCCCCTTCCCCTGTGGCAGCCACGCCGCCCCACCGAGGTATATAGATGTTTATGCATGCATTTGCTCAAGAAACCTGTGCTGAGCGGGGGAAAAGAAAAGAAAGTCTGGGAATTGGCAAGATATGAATAAATATAAGGAGGAGGAGGAGGAAATGTGACTGGACTAGGTGGAAGAGGTCATTTCAGCCCCAAGGTGGAATTCAGACCGATTAGCATGGGACCCATCACAAGGACCATTCATCCCACATCAGACCCCTTGCAAAGAGCAGGAATGATCATACCTCTCTTCCATGAATCCTATTTGGTTCAATGGGGTTTGTTTGCACAGAACTGCCTGCCAGATGGTGGATTTTGCATCCCAGTGGGGCAGCGGGGCTCACTGAAAAGGGCCCACACTTTTGCCCGTCCAGATTAAATGCATGAATTTTGTCCCATCAATGGACTTACCGCAGGCATCGCATTCCATCACGGTGTTCTTCAGAAAGATGATTTCCTTCATCTAGAAAATCACATCAACAACAGCAACATGTGGGTCCATATTTGTATAACCTGGACTGGATGCCAGTTGTGGCCCAGGCAAATTCAAAGTGCTTGTTTTGACATATGAAGCCCTCAGCGCCTTAGGACCTAAAGCTTACCTAAAGCACCGTCTTCTCCTGTCTGCGTCTACCTGCCCATTAAGATCTGGGCTGTCTGCTTTAGGCATGGCTCTTTTGGAAGCCCCTCCTGCCTTCCAAAAGAGCCATGCCTAACGGAAATAAAGCAGACAGTCAATAGAAGAAGGGGCGCCCCACAACTATGGAATAGGCTCCCCAAAGAAATTCGCCTGGCGCCAACCTTGTTTTCCTTTCGGCACCAAAGACATTCCTTTCCTCTGAATATTTCCAAAAACAGTCTTGAAACTTGGTATTTAGGCCGGCATCTGCCGGTCTCCTTACTTGGCATAATTATGACATTTATTTATTTAACTTTTCACTGTGATTTTAATTGGTTTTATTGTTGTTGTTGTTGTTGTTTTAGTATTTTACAGTAAGTAGCCTAGATAATTCATCTGGATTCAGATGGCATCCAGGTTCACGAGTAAATAAATTAATAAATAAGTAAAATGAGGACAAGATTCTGGCCCCTGCTAACTGCCAGGCTGTGCAGGCCAAAGGTAGACTGCTTGTATACCTGGAGGTTCTGTTGGACTAATATAATCGTCCTCCATCAGAAAAACTTTGAAATGTCCACACCCTACCAGAAGTTCACAAACAAGGGATGGTGGCAGAAGCGATCCCTCACGGTTGGCCCTCCAGCTCTAGCAACTGAAGTTTTATCGCTGCAGAAAGAGGAGATTCCCTCTTTAACAACTCTCCAGGGTACCCTCAGGAAGGGGCTGGAGCTACAAAGATGTGGAAACTTTCGGCCATTTTGAAGATGCTTTGGGGCTGCCTTTGAGTGGTGGGTGCACCCAAAATTCCAGAAATAGCAGCGTCGTTTCCCTCAGCTTCCTCACTGTGAGAGGTGTATCACCGCTCGGGACAGGGCAAGGGGGAGCTGCCCAAAAGCTGGGGGGCCCTGGAGAGGGAATGGGGCCAGAGCACGGAGGGACTTGCATGGCTCCGGGTGCAACTCGATTCTCCCCGTGGCGGTAGGAATCAGCCGTCCGGCAGCACGAGAAAAGGCCCCGTGCTCGCGGCCGTCTCTTAGCCGATGGGAAACCCAAGCGTTGCCGTGACTTTCCAGACTGCATTTCAACAACTGCAGTGGCTTTTAATCTAATCCAGACTTCGCCATAAACCTGGGCAGAAGGGACCTGCGGGGACCAGTGCCTTGCGTCCCCTGCCAAAATCATTTTGCTGGGGGCGGTATCCAAGCAAGGGGTTGCTGGATGGAAAACTCGGTCTCTTCCACAAGAAAATTACCTGCGTCTTCTGGCAACCGAGGGATGTGCTTTAATTTAAGAAAAATGTTTTTAAAAGTAATTTGTACAAGGCCAGAGACTGGAAGAGAAGGGAAGTGTGGTTGGAAAGGAATGGAGAGGAGGGGTTTTTAATGTTTACACACCCAGTGTTGGCTGGGGCAGATGGGATTTGTAGTTGGGAAAGCAGCCCAGACTGCTGTGAATTCTGCCTGGTCTTTCTGAAAGAGACATCCGAGGATCTCTTGCTGGAACCTAGCATTCTGTCTCCGGTGGCGGCTGGCCAAGCGGAGGCAACCCGGCAGCCCAAGATCAAGGGCAGCGGAAGGTCTGACTTCATCCCGAGCAAACAGGAGGCCTGTAGGAATGTGCAGAAAGCCATTCCCTCGTCCCCCGGGGCCCCCGATCTCCCTCCACAGTTTGTCCTGGCACCGAGGGCCGGTCAAGTCTGGTTTTCCAGTTTAGCTGGCAGTCGGAGGCAGAGAACGGGGGAGGGTGGAACAGAAGACGGGAACTTGGTGTTACACAAGAGCCGGCCGAGCAAAGCAGACGCAACCTGGGCCTGGAGCGAAACCGCCACCACAAGCGCCCGAACAGAGCCAGGAGCTGCCGAAGCAGTGGGAACGCGGAGCGGCACTGGCAGACCGAGCCAGCGCTCCACCCGTTCTGCTTCCCTGTGGTCGCCACTGTGCCTCCAAATGGGTCACTGAAACCTAGGATCTTGTTTTATGCTGGTTTGTCCAGGCCAGAGTTGCCAACTGGAGTTTATTTCCCAGCCATAACGGGAGGTGCTGCTGGGGATCAAACCCAGGACTTTCCGACATGCAGAAAAAGTGTTCTGTCCTTTCCCTCAGGGTTCTAAATAGATAAAGTAAGGTTCTAGTCCTCAGGGCTCTAAATGAAGTAGTTCTGCTACCCAGGTATCCCATTGCCCTCAGACTCCATCCCAGTTCTTACTGAAGGGGTAAAGTAGACACAAGGTTGTACCAGTTGGGAATGTCAGAAGTTGCTTATATATGGGTAACAAATCAAGGCTTGATTATTGCAAGATATCCTACCTCTGGCTGGGGAGGCGCCACTGAATTGCCAAACACCCGAATAACCTCTGTGAGGCTCCAAATGGAAACTCTTATCCAACATTTATGGAGTGCTGACTTTTAGCAATTCAAACTATTCAATACTGGAAGAGTGAGGAACTACCTACTGAGGAACTGATTTTTAAAAAGATTCTGGACTGTGCAGAAATGGACAGATTGACTCTATTATTGAAGGAGAAAGAAGATACTGACTTCTGTCAAACTTGGGACCTTTTTTACGACTGGCTGGAGAAATGGGACTTGGCTTAGATTTAAAGATGTCTTTAAGTTTTTATAAATTGATTTGAATATGATTATAGAATGTTAAAAAGATATGTTATAGGGGGTGACCCAGTACGTCCGATGTATTTGATGATTGATTATTTTTTAGTTTTTTTAGTTTAAAATCTTAATAAAAATGTGCAAAAAATAAAAAAAACCAATTCAAGCAGCATTTCCGTAACTAATTCAGGGGATTGTGAAAGGGGAGCAGGGAGAGAATTGCGTTTTGTGTTTTGAAATCTTGGGTGGTTTTGAAGCTGAGGTTTTTAGTTGGAAAAAAGGGCACAGGGCCTTCCTAAGGATGTGAGGTGTGTGCTCTGGTCTTTACCTGCTGTTTCAGGAGTTCTGTAATTTCTCGCAGCACCTTGTTCGTCTCTCTCATCTCTGACAACATTTGGGGTGAAAGGTCTCCCCCTGCAGCAAGAAAAACACCAGAATATCTTATGGCAAAGATCTGTTGAGAAAATTTCCAACCAGCCAACTGTTTTAACCATGAAATAAAAGCGATCAGTCCAGGAGAAGGGGGTGGATATATGAAATATGCTACCCTCCATCAACTCAACTTACACTTGATGCAAATTTCTTTTCTTTTGTTTGCCTTCTTGTTTGGGAAATGGTTAAAATGCATCAGCCCAAAAAGGAAGTTGAAGTACCCTGCTGGGGCAGAGACCCAAACTGGCCAGGAATCATTCCAAATGGGTGAATCAGTGAAAATTTCAATGGTGCTGAAATCTCACGAAAGTGCTTCTTCAAGAAATTCAAGCGAAATAGAAATTTTAAAACCAGGCCGTCAGCCATGACCTCCAAATTGCTTTCTTAGTCAGTTCCTGCAAGCTAGTTGATACCTGAAGTTGGCATTTTTTTGGCTAGATGGCACTAAAAGCAGAGGGTGGGGTTGCAGCTAGGAAGTCCCCCAACCAGGCATGGGCCAGTTTAAATCTAATGCAACTAGCTACAAAATGTGGTGATTAATTAATTACCCCTCATCAGAGATTTACATGTTGTTCTCTTCCTCAAAGGCCTGTCATGTACCTCTCAGAGAGACCACAAGCAGGAATAAGCTCTCCCCTCTCCTCTGGTAGACTGCTCCAAACAAGGAGGTTCTATTGACCCTTCCTGGTGATTCCTCAGAGATAGATCTCCTCCTCCCCAATGCCTATTTCAAAGTCATCTGATCTGTTGCTATCACTGTATCTTCTGCCAGTGACTGCCATTCTACCTGCTCTGCTTACTTTTTTTCCCCCTCTACCCTCCTCACCAATTTTCCTTGTGTGCTGTGGCTTTTTTAGGTGATGAGCCGGCAGGGGCAGGGGCAGGGGCAGGGGCAGCCTTGTTTTTACTGATTGTATGCAATCCATTTCACAAGCCTTCTTTATATATACAGTAAATAAAATAAGATATGTCATGTGAAAGATGACTTCCTTCGATCTGGCCTGAATTGGCTGCCAATGGATTCAAAGGGGAGTGCTGGAGCCGCACTGCGGGAAATCTCTCTTCCATCTCCAAACCATGCTTGAATCCATAACCCATTTCTTACGCCCTCTCTTATTTACCTTCCCCCACAAACTAGTATGCTTTAAAGATCGCTCCAAAGTGTTGGAGAACAGTTTCCATCCTTGCTGGTTATCACGGCCAATGCAAGCAGGTCCTAAACCCTGTGACTGTACAACCACAGGTCTCTTGTGGTATGTTCTGTGTGGCTATAATTTGGGGATTACATGGCACGTGTGTTTGCAATTACGCAAGTCTCGCTGCAATTAAACCTTTCACTGGGCATCTTTCATCCACCCTGCCAGCAAGGTAAATCGCCCAGAAGCTCATTTTGCAAGTTTGCTCTGTTTTGCTCTGTTGCTCATTTTGCAAGTTGGGCCAAAGCCTTCCAAGGTCACCACTTCCCCCAGGAGGGGAGCTGAGAATAGAAAATGCCTCCTCTCTTTGCCCCATACATATGTAAGCTGTTTATAAAGGCTTGTACATCAATTTATAAATAAAGGCCTTTCAAATCTGCCCTTCAAGGGAAATTTCTTACAACGTGCCAAAAACGGTTCCCAGTTTCAAACAGGAGCAGTGACTGTTCTGTGTCTCCTCCCGCCCTCTGCCTCTGCTTTTTTCCTTTGAGGTATGCCTTAAAAAATCAGTTGGTTAGTGTTGCCATCAAGCTGTCTCCAGCTTATAGTGGCCATATGAATAGGGGTTTTCCGAAATTTCCTGTCCTGGACTACCCTGCTCAGCTCTTGTGGCACCGTTTATGGAATCGCGCTCTCTCTGCCTCTCTCTCTCCTCCTGCCTTGACTTGACTAGATTGCTTTCTCTGGTGTTTGGGTAGTCTCCAAATTAATTCACAATCCCGTTTCCCCTGCTCGCAGTCAGGAGTCAGGCTGTTTCCGATCCCCCCAACTCATGTTTATGTCATGAGCTTGAGAAATCAAACGGTACAGCGCCCTTGGGTTTTGCTTCTTGGAGGGCTCCCTGTGAACCAAACTCCCCACATGCAGAAAGCTAGCCTTTCAGGAAGAAGGTTCAGCTCAGTTTTTTCCATGTGTGCCTCCCTAAGATGGTTTCTTTGGGGAGGACACAAATGCACACCCACGCGCACACCCTGTGTTTGCAAGTGGCCCAGCCCGGGGAAAACATTATCGCTTCAACCTGCTTGCGGTGAACTTTGGGGGATGGATGTACACCCACATTTCCACAACCACGTATGTGCACTCAGCCCATGCTCAGTCGCCGGGATGCTGAGAGGAGGAATCCAAAATATTTGCATGGCGCTTCGTTGAATGGAGGCAGCTCGGTGGGATCGGAAGCACGCAGGAGTTCGCATTTCTGGAGTGACTGTAGCTAATTACAGCAGGGTGTTTGAGTAGGGGGCCTCCAGAGATTGAGAAGTGCCCTGGACCCTGCCTATGTGGCCATCCCACCAAACACACAATCTGCCCCTAAGACAGATTGTGACTCTTGGAATATGACACCAGGTGCAAACGGAACGAAATGAATGTCAGAAAAGCAGTGCAGGATGAGACCTTGGGTCCAGCTCCCTCCCGCCCACGTTCCCCAGCAACATCCTGCCTCTGATATTGGAGGGAGCACAAAACCATGAGGACTAGTAGCTTTCAATACCTGTTTGCTCCACCATGAATTTGTTCGACGCTTTTTTTAAGCTCTCCACATGGGTGCCAATCAGTGTATCTTGTGGAAGTGAATTCTGTAGTTCAGCTCTGGGCTGGGCAGCAAAGACATTCCTTGGCTCTCCCAAACGTCCCATCAAGCAGCTTCATGGGATGGGCTCCTTGGGGTCCAGTATTCGGAGAAAGGGAGAAGTTCCCCTCCCAAATTTCTGTCTTGTTTCCACTTCCTCAGCTTTTTCAAGGCTAAATAATCCCTGAAGTTCTGCAGCAGAGCCGCTCCAACTCCTCAATTGTCTAAGTTGCCTTTTTGGGTTCTGTTTCCAAGCCTACAAGACGCCTTTTAGGTGTCTTGACAGGAATGGTATGCGGCATTCCAGGTGCCGGCACATCCCAGATTCCAATGAAGACAAGGATGCGCTCGGCTGTTTCATTTCCAGCCCCTTTCATTAATTGTGCATTGCCTGGACTTTGCCTTTTCCACGGCAGCTGCGTACGGGGTCAACATTTCCATGGGTCTGTCCACCCACCCCAAGACCCCTGTCTTGATCAGCCTCTGTGAACGCACACCCCGTCCACTCATACCTGCAGCGGGATTTCTTAGCCCCGGCTTCTAATACTTCACTCCTGCTTAGATTGAACCACACTTGCCAATTCCGTGTCAGTCCCCCCAGTCTGGAGAAACCCTTCCCGTTTGCTTCCACGCAGCCAATTTTAGCAAGCATTTAATCAGAAATTTAATGGGAAAACCAGGATATTGGAGGCACAGGGTGGGTGGGTAGAAAAAAGACCAGGACAGGACAAATCCGCCATTGCCTCCCACCCTGGACAATTGTTTTAAATTCATGTGTGAAATTTAGTTTTCTCCTTGTTGGTGTGCTGCCCAGCAAACTTTGGCTGTTGCATGAAATAAATCAGTGATAATTTTTACATTCCACAGACCTTAAGAAGATGCAAGACAGCAAAGCCGATTTAGCTTACCTCTTCCACCAGGCATCTGACATGATGCAAAGGAACAGAAGCTCAGCAGAAAAAGCAAACTCTGAAGGACAGCCATTCTCAAGACCTGAGGATGTGCGCCTGGCCGTGTTACCTTCTGAAGCAATCGTTCTCTGCACGTCTCTTTTGAAAGGTTCGCCTCCTCTCCGCCCCCCCATGAGTGAGGGTTTGCGGTTTGCTATTTATGAAACCACATTCCAGCCGCTGAAGTTTTGGTTCGCTTCTGGATGCTAGACACGTCACTTCTAGCCCTGGTCCAGGGAGTGGGGGGTGCAGGGGGTGGGGTGGGGGGAGAGAAACTGAATTAGAAAAATAAACAGAGTGAGAAAATAACCAGGATAACGACTTAATAGGACTGCGTTGTGCAAATAAACAAACAAGGAAAAAATATGCAAGCCGCCTATGGGGGGAAGCTGTCTGGTATTAAAAGGGATTGCTTTTTTTATGGAAGGATTCCCTTTGCACCCTCCTTAGACCCTGTAAAATGGGAATAGGCCGTTCTCAAGTTTTCTGGTCCTGCAACTCTCAGGGTCCTGCTTGCGGGGGATGAAGGATGTTGCGGCAGCAAACCTTCTGGAGCGCACCAGGCTGCTTAGCCCTGGCCGGGAAACCTTTGGCCAAGTGCATGCGCCACAATTCCCTCCCAGGTTAGCATTTCTCTACCCTTACCTAGTTTGCAAAGTTTAGGCTAAGTTCTGTGGGGCAGAGAAGCATTGCTTTGTTCTCACTCTCTCTTACGAGGTGCCACATGCTTGGCTGAACCGAGGGTCTGCTTACATCCTACAGCTCAGGGGTGTACTGTACCCAGAGCATGCAGGGCCGAAATTCCAGGACTTTTTGATCTCTGGCACAATCTGCCACCCCTCCTGGCCTCCCTGGTCCCTCTCAGTTTGGCTGCAACTTTTTCCAGGAACTGAGTGAAAACTGCTTTTCCCAGCAAGCACATGAGTGAACTCTGTTGCAGTGCAACGTATATTGGGCTAGCTTTGCTCAGAAGGGGTAATTAAACCAATTTGTTCTACCAAAGATGCCCAGGCCAGCCACAGGGGCAAGTTTCGACTTTTCGTAATGAATTGCTGCTGAAGGACTTTTTATATTCATGATTAGCGTTCCAAGATCTCACTGGGTGCAAAGGAGAGTGGAATTCCGTACTTGCAACAGCTGTGCTGAGAAGGGCATTTTGGAGGTGTAGCAAGCTAAGTAGAGCTTCCATGTCCAGGAGTACTCAATCTGCAAATGCCAGAAATTTTGAAGATAAACACCCAGGGGAGGAGATTCAAGTGAAGGGTTGAATCTCAGTTTTTTGAGGCGAGCTTGATTAGGGATTTCCAGGAAGTGCCCAGCTGCTCGTGGTGAACAGAATTATGGACTAGCAGGACCTTTGGTTTGATCCAGTGAGGTTTTTTAATGCTCTGACTTAGAAAGAGCTGCACAAATGCCCAGAGATGCTGCTGAGGCCATCGTTAATGGAACCTCTTCACTCAGAGGCAGTCTACCTTAGCGAACCGGCTGCTGCCTCCCACCACTCCCTAATGTCCTGCTTGTGGGCTTTGCTGAGTGATCTGACTGGCCTCTGTTGGAAGCAGGATGCTGGGGTTGGATGGGCACTTAGGGTCTGGTTGAGCAGGACAGCTCTGATCTGTGCTGGCTCTGGAGTATGGGGGGCCCTGGGAGAGGACCCCTGCAGCCGCAAGATGGCTTTTGCTCCTCCACTGTCACCAAGGGCTCTTCGTCCTCCTCTTCAAAATGGCTGCCACTTGGTTGCTTGGGCAAGCTGGCCAAGCCAGACCCCGCCGGTCCTTCTTGCCTCTCTGCACTCAGAGCCAAACCTTCACAGCCTGCCTCACCCTCTTCATCTTCACTTCTGCCAAAGTTGCGGGTTATTTTGGGGAGTGGGAGAGAAAACCCAGCCGCCCCGCCTCTGGCCTTGTGCTTCCCCGGCTCAGCCGTCCGTGTTTGACAAATGCCGTCCCGCCAGCTGCCGGCTTTGCCGACGGGCACGTCATTTTCACAAGGTGTCTAGATATATGTGTGTCTTAAAAACTTAGCTTGTTGTCAAGACGGAGAAGGGAGGCCGCATGGCCAGGGCTCACAACAGCGTCTTGTCACAGGCATCCGTACGAACCGACGGGCCAACCCCAAAGCCCGGCTTAGAAAAACCCAAAAACGCGACAATCTGGAATCATCCGACCTGACGCCAGTAAAAATGGGGCCATGTGGAAAGAGGGACTTTCTTCGTCCAAGTGAGGTGTTAATTGATTGTTTGGTGGGGGAAAGCCCCCCTGAAATCTTAAAGGTCAGGCACCTCGTAAAAGGAGGGGGGGTGATGAGGCTCTGTGCTGTCCAACCCCCCCCCCCCCCCCCCCCAGTGCAGACAGCTGCATCTGGCTTAGGTCGGTGTGTCTTCACACTATCCCAACCATAACGGCTCCTGTGGTTTTAACAGGAATTTTGGCCGAAATGCAGCAGATGAAGTGGTATGTACATCCCCTTGCTAAATGTATCTGCACCACACTGATAGTACATGTGGAGGAGCGGGAACTGCAAAAGCACTTGGTGACCCATCATCCACAGCAAAGGCCAGCTCAGGGTGCTCTTAACTGGCCTGGGGAGCTCTTGACAGTCTCCCCCAAGGGTGTTGAACCTTTCAGCCTGAGGGCTGAATTCTGTTCTGGAGAAAGTCTCAGGGGCTGCATTTGTGGGGTGGACAAAACTGGACAGGGCGCAACATTCGAGAAATCCCAGCTTGCTTTAGTTTAAAACTCTCGCTGCTAGAAAGGCATGGCCCAGCTTGTTCCCGATTCTGGAAAGGAAAAATGGAGTTTCTCCAGGCATGGCAGTGACCCTTCCTGAAGTCAGCCCCCAGGACAACACCTGAGCTGTTGTCCACGGATGGGTTTTTAAAAGACAGCAAGCATTCTTCGCTTGCTGAGACATTTCAGTAGGTCTGGCTTGGTATAGAAGTCTGGGCTGGGACAACCTGGCAGGGCCAAGCACCTCTTTCAAGAGGGCAAGGGACTAAATGGAAACGAGCCATATGTGTTTTCTTAGGGCCGCTAAAAGCTGCCCGCATGGCAGGGGTCTTTCTTTCCTTGAAGAAAGAGTTTGCTTGCTTACGTTGGCCTTGCTTACCCATGCTTCCACGGACCTCGCTTGCCCTTGCGATGTGGTCCCGCTAGTAGAAGGCATCGGGCAATCCCGAAAGTGGACAGGAGGGCCAGCAACGCTGACACCGAAAGATAAAACGGAGAAGGGGATTCTGCAAGCCAGTTTGGCAGGAAAGGATGTTCTTTAAAGTGCTGCTTAATTGTTAAGTTGCCCCTGCCAGACCATCCCTGGAAATGCCCTTCTACCTAGCAAGTAAGCTTCGAAGGGGAAGAAAATGAGGAAAGGCAGTGCGGTATAGTGGGCGGAGTGTGGGACGAGGGACCTGAAAGATCTGGGTTCTAATCCCCCCTCAGCCATGTAGGCTAGAGGATGACTTTGGGCAAGCCACGGACTTGCCAAGCTTACCTCACAGGTTGTTGTGAGAACGAAACAGACTGGAGGAGCACCTTGGAAGCCCTTGTGGAAGGAAATGGGGGGCATCTGTGTAAAATAAGACACCCTCTTTTCCACTGGGATGGGCCAAGGGGGCAAGGGACCCCTTCGAGGAAGCTTCAGTCGTATTTGAGATTCTCGTCACAAGCTCCTTCGGGGTGGAAATCGATCTTACCAAGTGTCTCTGAGTGGTCATATGTACAGAAAGGTTTAGCCTGAGAGATTGCAGATTGGAGCCAGGGAGCCCGGACCCCAAATTTTTCAATTTTCTCGGAACTCTCTTTGTTGTGGGGCAATTTAAACCCCCCCCCACCCCCGGTTGCCCAATCTGAAGTGACAAACCCGGCTGGAATAGGAGGTGCGTGAGAGCCAGAATCACCACGCCAGGAAACAGGATAAGCAAAGCTTCCAAGATGTAGGTTTTCAGTAACAGGGAGGTGATTTTGCTCCTGCCTCCAGGACAAGGGGTCTGGAAGCTATTTGCTCTCTCCCTTTTTTTGGGGGCAGAGCACCATCAAGGCTGGGTAGCCAACGCAGAGCCCCCGTGGACGGCCTTTCGGAACATGCGGCGTCTCAGCAGGGTGAGATCACTCCCTGTTTTATTTTCCTTGGAAAAAAACTCACCCTGCATCGTTCTTCTGTCGGGTCAAGGAACTTGAAGATCTCTCCTGAGCCACTGATTCCAGACAAAGCCAGAACTTACAGGCGCAAAAGGAGGGAGGGTGTCCATATAACCGGCTTCCCATTATCCACCAGTGAGACTCCCTTTCCCCCAGCCATTGGCTGAGTTTTTGTGATACCCCAGAAGGGTCTCCTGGCTGTGGGCAAGGTGGGGGCTGCAACATGCAGCATAAGAGGCAAAGCCCACCCTGGCCACATTTCGAGCAGAACGCGAGACAGGGCATCCATTGATGGCCTACCTCACAAGGCTGTTGTGAAGACAACACTGCCGGAGGAGCAACTGAAGGGCACTAAAAATAATATGGGTGGAGCAGGGAGAAAAGACAAAGAAGTGCAGGAAAATGACTTGCATTTGGGAAATCTGTAAAGTAGAATGTAGTAGTACAATCGGTTAACTTGGTATTAAACCCTGGCTTGTACCCAGTTTTAACTCAACTTAGCATAAACCCACAGAAACCCTGTACGTTAGCCATGACCAGCACAAGTCTCAGTGATGCTAGCAGGCCTACTAAAAGTGTAGCTACGCCTGGACACAAAACATTGTCTTTTAATTCAATTTTTGGTAAGTTGAGTCATCCATCCTCAAGGAGCCTCTGCTCAGGGGTATGGTATTTTGTTCTTGTTTTGGCGTGTGATGTCTGTGAATGTGAGGTTTCCGCGAAATGGTCGGATCAATTCCCCCCTCCCACCACGCTGAGGATCATTTGTCGTTTCCGAACAGTTCTGCTGTTGCATTCCAGAGCTGAGTGTACCCTTGTCCGATATCCAAGCTCTGGGAGTTTTCTGTCCTTGAACGACCACCCAGAGAGCAACGGCCGAAGGGGCCGCGGTGCCCAC